GTGATGGTTTTAAGTGACAAGTAAATACTGCTAGCCAGGCTTCCTCCTCAACTAAGAGCCTATAAACTTGACAGCTCAACTTTAACTGTAGTTGTGGGGCCTTTTGGGGAACTTAGTGAGTAGGATTCTCTAGCATTTAATATCAGGTGCTGGTGTCTATGCTTCTCATACCTGACTTGCATGTTCTGTGTTTCTCAGACACTGATTTATAGGTTGCAGCTGGTGAGTAGAGGACAGGATTGTTGATGGTCTTTCCCCCCAGAGAAGACAACTGGCTGTAACCTTTGTGATGAGAAGACTTTTTTTTTTTTGTTTCCAGCTGCTCAATCTTTCAACCAAGATGTGTGCAAGTATGCTAGATGTTACACAAGTACACCAAGGTTTTTTATTTGGCCAAAAATAGTCAGCTATCACCTCTACAGCTCTATTCTGTCTTCTAATTTGATATCTGGCTCTGAAAAACCCATATGGTGACGGCCAAAATGCACAATTAAGACTTCTAAAACAAATGTCTGACCTCACACTAGCTGTGTTTGCCTCTAAAACAGAGTCTAAGCTCTTGAGTCAAAACAAGCCATCCCTCCAAAAAAGTTGAGTTACCTGAGCAGACGAGTCATGGCATGGCGGCAGACGTAGTGCAGGGGCGTATTGTGCTGATACTGCTCTCCGTATGAAGCATTCGGGTCAAGGCCTTCCCTGAACTGAGGGTTGCCTTCATACAGTTGCCAGGCTAGAGCCTCGTCACCTCCCACCAGCGCCTTGCGGAACTTGGTAGCTGTGTTGCCCATGGCTTTGAGCCTGCAGAGGGCCGCCTACAGGGAGATGTGGCAGATGCTCGTCCGCCGTCCTTCCTTTCCTGCTCACCTATGCCTTCGGCCTCCTCCTGCTCCTCCTCCTCCCCCGTTCACCACAGATCACACCTTAGAGCGACATGGTTTAGTGTTTTCCTGCCCTGTAAGCAGAAGAAGGAGAGACGTGGGGATTGATAGGAGGAAAATATGGTGGAATGATACACATGAGAAGAGGAAAGAATCCCAATGAGTGAATGGGAACGGAAGTTGGTTATGGTAGGAAAGGGGGAAGAGAAATAGCAAGACTGAGGCTGGAAAGTGAACAAACAGAGAGACTAAACGAAAGGAAGAGACAAGGAGGAGCAGCTCAATCAATCAGTCCATCCATTGATCCGCTGATGTGCTTTAGCGAGGATGTTATCTCACCGGAAATAAAGGAGATAACAGAGGGAAGGAGAAAGAAACTAGAAAGCCAGAGAGATCATTATAAAGAGGACAGACAGGAGGGGAAGGTTAATGATATCCAAGCCATCGATTTTGTTAGTCAGTTGATGAAATGCATGGTCAATATTACCACAGCTGGCCACTGTGAGTCCAGTTAGCTTGCCTTTGTGAGGAATTTGCATATTTTGGGCTGTTTTCATGCCTGTCTGCGACTGGGGATATGAAGCTCTGAGTGTGAGTTAAACCATGCAGTGCTAATACACAGAGCTAAAACCTGTTTCATTTTTCCTCTCAGGCGCTAAACCAAAGAATCATAGGAATTAAAACTATGGCTGCTACTGCTGAGTTCACTCTCCCAGCAACAGCTTACAACCCCTCCTGTAGTTTCATTAGTTGTCATGCTCTTTTCAATGTTTTCGCTCTAATTTCAAAGTGCTTCACTGGCATTCATCAAAAGAACTAAAACAACATGGGAAACAAGAAAACACCTCGGTCACATTTTGTACATGATCACTAAACTTCATCTTGTCTCACAAAAAACACATACACAGATTGTCCTTCCTTTGACACATAAACACAGCATTACATCCTGTAATGAGTGGAGTCTGTATGTGAGTGCATGTGTCTGTGTGTATTGGGCAGTTGAGGGTATCATTACAGTCTTCATTCTATAGCCATCTGTCTGGCCCTCACAAAGAGCCTCTTTTAGCCCAGCTACAGTTGGCCGCTGGCTGGTTCAGGCTCTGGAACATTTGAATAACGTGGCTGGCTGCCTCCCCTCCTCTGCCTCTCCATTTCTATGCAGTGACAGACAGGGGCACATACAGGCAAAACACAGCCTGGCAGATGGAGACATACAGGCTCGCACAGAGGCTGCTACCACTTGTGAAATAATAGAGAGGATCTTGTAAGGTTCTTCTCTTGTGATGCACAAAACAGGTATCTGATATCTAATCAAATATCTGAAGGGTTGATGGTGGTGGTGGAGAGGAGATACTACAGTTATTAGGTCAGTCTGTCTGCTTGGCCCTGTTTTGTGCACAATGGTTTACTTCCAGTTCACTTCACTCTTCTGTGAATTTCCGCCAGTCTCCCTCTGTCTCTCATACTAAATAAGGACAGAGAGTCAGGACGTCGAAGAACTTTGGAATCCAAGAGAACGTAAGTCCTGCTGTTTGCACTTGGCAGTGACAGTGCAATTATGTAGTATTATGAAAGCTCTAGAGCCTGCATGTCATTCAGTGGCCGGGTGGAGTGAGTCTGAGGGTTGCTCTTTGTGGGCTGGACACTCACTTATAAATCAAGCCAGGAACAAAGACATGCCTCTGGATTTACATTTGTAAATGAAAAGTTTCACCTGGACCATGAGTCTAAACAGAGCCGGGTTATAGTTCATGTGGTATTCCCATGTCAGGTTAGAGACTTAATGACTCATAAACTCAAGAATCACAAAGTCACGAGTCTTCTCTTGAAATCCTTACAGATCATTCCCGCTAACAGGAACTCATCCTGACTCACTCTGTGTTTCTAAATAGCCCAGGCATGACAAAAAACATTGCACAGTTTACAAGAAACATGATGAATTAAGGTGATACTTAATAATCCTGCAGGGTTTAAAGACGATTTGATTAGTCAATGAACAATCGCTTTCTCGTTCCAAAAGCTCCAGCATGAAAAATTTGGACTACATATTTTGAAGACTAATAATAAAAAATGCCCGCTGCAATAACAAGATGATTCCTTTCAAAAAAAAGTTTTGTTGTGCCTGATTTAGAAAATCTTAAGATTCTCACACTGAATTATATAAATACGGAAAAGAGCAGCAAATTTGCCCTCTTGAGAAGACAGAAATTAAGTGTGTTTGGCAGCAATGCTTAATCACTTCAACTTCATATCACTAATCTTTCATATCCAAAGAATACAATAATTATCAGCAGCCCTATTAGGATGAATGTCTGTCTTATCATTATATGATTACAACACTGGTATCATAGCTCTATAATAAACCTAACAGTGCAGGTATGATTGATGAAAGGCCAAACAGAGCCCTACCATTAAAAGTTTATTCTACAGCTACCACCACTCTGTTATTATAACTACTGAATATCTTTAAAAACAGTAAGCACCCTCATCTAAACTTAAAGTCAGCTGATACACATCAAGTCCAACACCTCAGTCAAGGCATAAGGGGGGGGGGGGGGTCGAGGTGCTCTATAAACTGACAGATGAAGACATAAAACTTGTGATTGAGCAAAAAGTCAGACAGCTCAGTGCAAGTGACTTCCATAGCGCCTGGGCATTTACCAGAATTAGCTAGGTCACCATGTATCAGCCAAATAATCAGGTCAGACCTCGTGTGGTTACCCCTGAAGAAGTGTGTCAGCATGAAATGGAGCACAAAACAAACAGCAGTCGACTTCTCTATGCATGTTTCTGTCCATGCGGCCCCTCGGGTAAAGCTCCTTTGTTTAACACACTGACAGTCTGTGTGTATTACTAACCCAGCTGAAACAAACGAGGCTAGGAGTAGCATGAATGATAAAGATAAAACGCGTTACCCTGGGTGTTAACGTGTTCCCTTCAGCAGCACGGGGAAATGTTAACACCCAAAGCTGCCTGCCTTCCTGCCGCTATCAAAGCTAGCAAGCCGTCTCTGAGGTTTACGTTAGCGTGTTATGTTAGCTTCGAGTACCTTTCATACAGCAGCACAACATCAAATCTCCGTCTTACTCACACGGTTGTTTCACTTGGTCAAGCTAGTCGCACACTAGGGAACCTTCGTATATCGAGGATCATTATCTCATCACTGTCATTCGCGTCCCCGTTTGCTTTTCCGCTGAACCATCCTCTCTGCCACCGGACCCGGCAGGGGCGAAGATGATGCTGCTGAGCGCGGAGGGGCGAGACTGACTGGCTCGCTTCAGTGTGTTGTTGTGGCTGCCAAAGAGAAAAGAACACTGCGCATGCTCAGCACCAGCTGTCACACTGAGGGCGCCCCCCTGATTGGTCGGTTGTCTAGCTTCAATGGGTGGTTTTGTTTGGTTTATTGTTTTTTTTAATTGAAACCCATTTTTTATTTCACTTAACAGATTAGGTTTAATATTTCCTTATATGAACATAAGCGTGATATTTTATGCAATTTATAAAAATATACATTGAAAACAAAAGAAATAAACGTATATTGTTGATGACATATTTAGCTTCAAAATCAACTTGCTTTAAGGCAATTTAAACATTTTAAAAGCTAGGCTAGTTAAGTTTTAAAAAAGGGGAAAATTACATTTTATAAGGATAACTGGTCAGTTTTTGTGCGAGTTATTTTGGTTGATCCAGTCCTAATTGTCGAAAGAGTAAAAGTCTGTAATTAGGTTAAAGTATCAATTCTAAACATAAATATAAATACAATAACAACACAATTTCATATTTTTCAACATAATGTATATTATGAATAATACTGCTCCATCCCTCATGAGTTATAATATATTTGAAATCTATTACAAAGTCTTTTGGCTGTGATCTTTGATCCATGCATCCCTTTGCAGGTCCTGAACTGTAGCATTAAATTAATTTGAATGATTTATTCATATAAAAGATCATTTAATTTATGCTTAAGCTGTTTTGCATGTAAAGAGAAACAAATACATGTTGTGGGATAGTTATATTGTAGCATAAAATGGTAAAACATTAGTTAAGTTAATGTATTTAGTTGAATTATTTCTCAATACTTACACATCAACAGGACACCAGCACAAAACTCCCAAAATGAAAGGTGGTCAGGTGGACACTTTATTGGACCCATCAAAAATTACAAAAGAGGATGAATATAAACACTAGAACAATCTGTTATTGGTCCTGATATTATGGCATATAATTTTTTCACCATTATGAATGCAAAACTACATAAAAATGTCAGTGAAATCGGGGTATTTATGCCCACAAGCGAACAACCTGTTGATTTTTGTACCTCTGTGAATATAAAACAAACACTCATACACAAACACACACACACACTTCTAGTCTTCATCCTGACAGCAGATGCCCATTCTGCAGGCTTCGCACAGAGACGCCTCATGTGGTTTGGTGAACACTTTTCTGGAGCATGTAGATGAGCCATCATCACTGTCATCATCATAGCAATTCTTCCGGATTTTGCTGAAAAGCCTGCGGAGGGCTTTTTCCACCTCTTCATCGGAAAAACCTGGAAGTTCAAACTCATCGTCCTGACAACGGCGACAGGCCTGTCTGAAAGGTCGCATGATCACCGTCCCCCGGTTACCCTGCAGCCGGTAGCGGAACAACACCACAACTCGAGCTGAAGGCCAGGTCTTGTTGCAGGTTTCACACCGGAAACTGTGAATGAGAGGCAACAAAAGAGGGTCAGAGGCATAGAGCTTCATCGTGAGACTCAACAAGTTAAGTCATGAACGTTTGTGAAATTCATCTGAGGCTCAAGTTAAAAAGGATCAATCGTACTATGTAACAATGTAAACTTAAACCCAGAGCTGAAATGTGCCAACAGTCCTCAAAGGTAGTTTATACTTCAGTTGACCACAACATGTATCTGACAGTTTGAGCTACTAGTTACTTTGCAGATTCAGATTATTGCTGAATATAAAGCAACTGTAATACTTTTTTAAAGATTAAAATTGTCTGCTGTAAATAAATAAATAAAATGATCTCTATCTTTACCGACCGAAACACTTAAGTATACATGTTAACATTATGCATCACTAATCATAATCCAGTGAAACAATGAATATGATTCTTTAATTGACCATTCTTCATAATAAATATTTTCTTTTTGGATATTTTTTAATAATCCAGTTACTTCTTCCCCCACTGGTGCTATTTCTGTTATTTGATGCTCTTGAGAAAGACGCAAGAACGCCCCTCTTTACCCAGGGTGCAGTACCAGCTTTTTCCACACTATGACGCTGTTTTGATACCTCGCATGACCTGCCCACAGTAAACAAAATCTATTCATCACATGACCTTGCATGATGATCCATCAGAGGGCATAACAACTTAGCCTACTACTTACCTACACCCTGATCTAAATGTCTATTAAATATTAAAGCTAATGTCCACATTCTTTGACAGTTCAGACAAATACATACTGTCCATAAGCACAGTGGCAGTAGACCTTCCAGCCTCTCCTTCTCTCCTGCTTGGTGATCTCCTCTGTCTGGTTGTAGTTGAAGGTGAGAGTCCACTGGTCCTCATAGTCCAGCTCGTTGTCATCATTCAGCATATCATCAAAAATGTCCTTCCACAAGCCAGGAATCCAGTCTGCAAGTATGGAAAGAACAACAATGCTTTAAAACTATAAGGGGGAACAAATACTTACATAAGAATATAGTTTGTTAAAAATGAGCTCATGTTTCTGATCCCGTTTTTTAAACCTTCCCTCAGCAAAAAGGGAGGTTGGAAAATTGTTCAGACAACAGAAGCAAAACAAAACTGTCTGTAGAAAACTGTCACGTATTATCTCAATGGAGCTGCAAGTGTTACCTGTGGGTGGGCTCATGTTGTTTGCTGGTCCGTTTTCGAAGGAGGTGAAGCGATGAAACGATGCCTTAGCTCTGAGTCTGGATACAGCTCTGGCACTGTCAGCAATTTTCTCTCTATTTATCATCCCCAAGCAGCTGATACTCAGGAAACGAAACTTAACATCACACTTTCGTTTTCCATTCTGGGTGCACACACACACACACCAGTCTGGAGCAGAGACTCATGTAAACAAATTGCAACACACGTAAAGGGATGTTATCTTGTAACACCCACAGATTAGTTATTAATTAATGGGTGGAGGAGGAGTAGCCATGTATGTGGATACATCTTTAAACATGAGGGTGTTGGAGGATATATGACAGCTGTTATTGATCACTTACTTGAATTTATGTATTCAAATCTAGAAAGAAAACAAAAAACAAAAATGCAATTATTGGCTGTATTTACAAAGCCCCAGGCCATCATATGATGTTCATGGACTGGATTGATGACACGTTTTCAAAAAAGAAAAGCACCAGCTGTCACACTGAGTGCTCTCCCCTGATTGGTCGGTTGTCTAGGTTCAATGGGTGGTTTTGTTTGGTTTGTTTTTTTCATTGAAACCGATTTTTTCTTTCACTTCACAGGAAATACATTTGAGGAGTTAAGAATTTTAAGCTAATTATTTGATGAAAACTGTTCAATAAAACAATATTGGAGAACTTCAAATGTAAGGATTCTACATGTATTACAAAGGGTTCGCTAAGAAATACACTTTTAATAAAAAAATAGAACTAAGTAGGAAGAAATGTAAAAAAAAGAAAAAGAAAATAAGTTAGATAATATTCTAAGACCACACAGGGAAGATTACTAGGCTATAAAAAAATACTGGATGAAAACAAAAACAACATTAAAGGGGTATGGAACATACTAACCAGTATTATACAAAATGGTCTTAAACAAAGTCATATCATGGCCCATGAATTGAATTTTATTATTATTATTATTATTATTTATTATGTTTCTCTAAGGAAAGATGACAAATGTCAGCCCACACATACTGAGGCTCTGGATGTTCATTCCAGTAGGGGGCAGTATAACACAACAGGTTTGATGTTCCACCGACTAAAGTTGGATGGAAATTTAAAGCGTTTAAACATAATCGTGGCTCTTTCTATTTGGTTTACAATGCCAACAACTATTTTATACGCCATCCTGGAATTTCCTGCGAAGCATTGCCTATTTCTTAGGAATGGGGAAAGTGAATCAGCAAATGACATTCATGATACAAAAGTAGATAGCTACAGTTGTAGTTATTCAACACTGGAAAAGAAAAGTTAAAGGGCATTTAATACAAAATCTGTATTACAATGACCCTGTTGGCTTCCACTTTAAGTTCTACTTCAAATTTGATGAACCTGGGTCCCTTTTCTTCACTGTGGGTAAATATTTCCAGAAAACTATGACGCACTTTGTTTGTCAGATACAGACATGAACAATATACTTAAATCTTTTTTAACAACATTCATACACCTGTTGCCCAACCAACTAGCTGAAAAGAATCAGAAACAAAGTGACAGTCATGTGTTTTACAGTCATGTACAGTAAAGTATGTCATATATCTAATACATCACACCTCCTCATGATGAGGCAGTAAAGCAGGTGCCCCCATTGGGCTGGTGACAGATATCCTTAATTGCTTTGTTGCACATATATCACCAGACCCACCCACTTGCATCTCCTTCTTTCTGCCCACACATTCTTGAAAGACACCCTGAAAGAGTTATTGGCACCAACAAAGCGTGCCTCCTTTCTACTTTGAAACAGTGTCTGTTCTCTTCTTGTACTTCTGAAGTGCTTTTCACGCCCCTTTTTTTAAGGACTTTTTCCTCTTAAACTTCCTTAAAAAGCTTGTGTGGTTTCAACCTTAACCACACTATTGACATATAAACTTTGTGTCTGAACAGTGCTCACTGAGCCTGTTGAGAACTCATTTTCTGTCTGCTGAAGTTAAAAATAAAGTCCAAAGGTCTGCATTTTTTTTTCTTCTTCTCAAGGAATATTTGTTGCAGTTTCAACTTTAATATGTTTGGTATAAGAGTGAGATGGTGTCAAGCTGGTTTGATAAATCAGACCCATGTTTACCCTGTCGTTGTTACCTGTCTGTCAAGCTATGCACAGTGCTTCCTCGATAACCATTACCATCATTTCATTTCATTAGAATGACAACACCTGTCAGAGGTATTTAGTGACGCTGTCATTTCCCAAACACAAAAAAACACGCACACACGCTGACTTGCACCTTAAACACAGTGTGGGGACTTTCCATTTGAGAATTCGATCAAAGCCTCACGTAGTGCTAAGAAGTGATTATAATGCTTGTCAGCATCTCCTGTCAAGAGAGAATGATAACTTTTTTATGCAGGTTTTGGCAGGCTCATAAACAAATCTTAAAAAGACTTGACAGCAATTATTTAGGTGACATCGGTCGTAACAACATAATGAAAATTACATAACACACACATGCACGCACGCACGAACACACACACACACACACACACACACACACACACACACATACACACATCTTACATTGTCTTATGTTGTTTTACTTATTGAGGATCATGTTTGACCCTCTTACTCATTGGTGAGAAGAGTTATTTCTGTTCCTGTTCTGTTGGGAGAAATATGACCTGAAGAAACTGAAGTGGAAATATCATTATATGGTGGGTGGTAATGTGCCTGTAGTGTCGTCTCATTGGCATGAGAGTCTGCCACCACCACACATGCACAAATACATTGCAACACATGTACTGTACAGTGTAGAAGTGTGTGCACCTTTGTCTCCCAGCAAAGTGGTGTAAAGATGACCTCAAAGCCCCAGGCTCCTGAGAGTCACCTTATACTCAGGTGTGACATTACAGCGTGAGAAAAGCATGCTGGGAAAGCTCACAGGGCCAGAGAGATGCAGGCTGGAGGAAAGAAAAAGAGACAAGGCAAGAGCAGATTCAGAGTAAACTCTCTGTTTTATGTTTCTGCAGCGCTGAAGTAAATTCCAGTTGATGGATATTAAGTTTCCCTGAAACAACGAGATGTAGACATGCTGCTCACAACTAAATTGAAGGGAGATGGGGAAAAATAACAAAGAGCTTCAGATTACTACGGAGCCCCTCTGGTGACATTGATGAAAATTCTATAACTCGTGGCCACAAATTAATAATTTGAGGCCTCAAAATAATAATTCTTGGGCTCAAAATAATATTTCATAATCTCAAACTATGAATTTGTGGCAATGAATTACTAATTTAATAATGATTTGTGCCACAAAATTAAAATATTTTCACCAGTGTCACCAGAGGAGATCCGTAGATTACATCTTGCCTGGTCAAAAAAAAAAAGAGCAGTAATTAGTGGTATCCTGCAAACTGTTGATGTTGAATTAACCTGATCAAATGAACTACTCTTCAAATCCTACAAAGTTATTCCTCCATCATCTCACTCAGAAAACAATAATACACAATTCATCAGTTAAAGCTCCTTACATGTTTCATTTGTCAATGTTGTCCCCTGAACTGAAAATTATAAATTGATGTCTTGTTAGGCCTTCAGAAGTTGTTTTGGTGTGTGCTCGCAATCAGGAAGCTGGTGTTTATTTCTTTGTTAATTTGTTGATTCAGAGCCGTCTTCATAATGATGATTGGTTGTAGGCTTGTAGTCATTTCCTATTTAAGATGTCCTGCCCCTTACTGTTCGCTTGATGACGGTCTAGTACAGAAACGTTGCCAATACATGTTTGTTTGCAAGTCACACAGTGTGCAGGAGTATACCTTTAAGATGGTGGACACATTGCTCTCCTACACACTTGTCTGGATGTATGATCTCTAAAATACAAGTTATTTGTTTCTTTATCATTGGCAGTAAGTCCTTTATGGTGTCCCTACATCTCATAATCAACTTTATGTTCTCTACTTATCTCTAAAGTTTGTGCTATATATTAATATAGGATTAACTTGTTTGTTCACCCCTAGCCTCACATCCATTTCAAAAAAGTTTTTTGAGTTCAAATAGTTCCAGGTAACCGCTGACTCCCCATCCAGGCATGCCCAGATGCAGGCCAGGATTTTTGTGCTGCCTGGATTCTGCCCGGACCTGTACACCTGTTAAATGACTGCCAGGTGACTCAGAGAGGAGGAGAACGAGCAGAGAAACATAGATAGATTGATAGAGAGAGAGAGCAGTACGTTGGGTGTGGTTAGATGCCTTGAGCACATTCCTTGAGCGGCCGCACCCTGCGTTTCAGCGTCTGTATACCTGCTAGAGTTTGTTATCAGAGTGTGATCATGTAAGCAGACCTTTAATTTCTCTCTTGGCACTTGTACTTCTTTCATTAGATAAAGTTTCTCTAACTCAGATAGTATGCTCTGTGTACACACACAGAGGTAGGCTTACTCAAACCTCACATTTCATATCTAGTCAAATCTGCTGAGAGTTGCACATTTGCATGAATTGGAAGAGAACCAACATGAGAGATCAGAAAAATGGCTCCCACTGTGTGAGTCCATAACAGCTTTCTAGGCCATGGGTGCTCAGGCAGACATTCAAACAAGAGGCACACCCTTAGGAGCAGGACTGAACACACAATCATGCTCATAAGTGTGTTGCTATCAGAGGGCTATGAAACAAGGTGTGGTCTGTCTGATAGACATGTTTCAGGACAAAGGACAGCCCATACAAACTGCACAAACACAGCATTGTAAAGTTTTATCAGGTTTAAATTTTAATGACAATATAGCTGATGTCATTGGGTGCAAGTGATACGAACAAAATGAGAAAGGATAAAAATGAGAAGTAGGCATTTCTTCAGTTTACACAATCCATAAAAATGTTGCAATTAAACCTGCAAAGTAAATAATTTCCTTTTGGTCAAAGTATGAGGAGAAACTGGTATTAAATTACAGTTTGTATATGTACATGGGGACATCCAGGACTAAAAGAGTTACTTGATATGTGTGTAGTTCCATGATCTGCATTGTGTCTGTAAGATTAAGGGAGGAAAAACAGCTTTACAAATCCTGATCAAATTCCAGAAGGAGATATGAATCTGAGATACCTGCGGCAAAGAAGCAGGTTTTGCTCCTTGATATAGAAAAGAGAACTGCTGAAGTCCGCTGATTTCAGCAAAAAGGTTTTGGCATAAAGAAAAACAACAGGTGACTCATTCAAGGTCAGTAAGAAACCCTGCAAAACTTCTGCAAATTTACTAGAGGAAGCTTGATGTGTTCTTAAATTCTTTTGTAAAGTTTTTTTTTTTTATGTTTGCTGTGAAAAACTTTGGTACAAGATTATTTACTTTTTTTAAATTATAAATATGACCTTGACCTGTACGTAACTTATTCTCAAAAATGGGCAATCGTTCTTGCTTGTAAACATGTGGAGGTAAAAGAGGATAAGTTACAGTATATCAGTTACACAGTAACATAGATCTAGGGTTAGCTAGATTTGGCCACAAAAAGTAAGTAGTCATAACTAACTAAGTGAGGCTTTATGTATTAAATTGAGAAACATGTTTTTTTAGCACTTTTTTAGCACTATTCAGAGTGCACCATATTTATACCCCTGTGATGTCAAGCTTTTGAATGTTGAAGTGATCGCACCTCTGTTCCGCCACGGAAGGTAGTAACACAGGGGTTACAGGGGCGAGCCAGCAGGGGCGAGCAGCGTCTTGTGTGTGAGCATGTCTGAGCACAACATGTAGAGGAACGTGGGAGCTCCACATACACACACGTATGTGTGTAACGCAACGTAAATACACAGACTGCAACACCAATATTATACTGTTGCAGAATAAATATGAAAACGGTGGAGTTTAAAAAGCAGTTTAAAAAGGGCTTTTGTATGGAACATGCATCCTTATGTTTTCTCTTATTCTGTTTGCCATGGTAACACACACATCAGTTGTTTTCTCAAGAGCTCAATTTATTCATCTTCTTATCTCAGGGTCACAACACTGGTTTTCCCGTTTTAAGGTCGTTAAAGATTTTCACTTGAGATTTAGAGAAATTAACTCGTTATCAAAGAAAACCAGGGTTGTTATGTTGAGATAATTACATAAGTAGGCCTAAGTCCAGATCTCGAGAAAACAACCAGAAATTCCTTGTTATCACAGGAGAATGGAATAATATAAAACCTAGGATGAAGATTGCTTCCATATAACTCCAAATTTACTTTGAGGAAATGCTGTTTCTTCTTTTTTAGGCTATTACATAATGCATTTTAAAATGATTTCTCAAGCAAACAAATTCCCAGGAGGCCTACAAATTAAGAAAACATTATTGGCATCCCATCCATTCACTACACAGTAGGGATGAAATGCCATTCCTGAAAGGCTATTTAATTTCAGACTGCACAAATAAATGCATAACAATGCAGGTACAAGACGTAGGCTAAAAAAAAAAATAGAATAGCCAGGAAAAGAGAGTGAAATAGTCTCTTTGGTTTTAAGACTACAGAACAAAAGTCTGTTTAAAGAGTTTGGAGTAGAGGCTTGAAGAACTGTCCTTTGTTTAATGAGGTAGTCTACAGCAGTCATGACATGACATGAAGAGCAGCGCTTTTGAAATGTGCCACTGGGAGTGGAGCTCCAAAGCTGAGATGTCCCCAGTGCTCAACGGCTTTGGGAGGAGTCTCACCGGTGGGAAAGCCCAGCCTAACAGGCTGCTTCCTCATTCATTGTGCCGTCCTGCTCTGTATTAGCGGAGACTCTGGAGGTCTTTCCACCGCCCAGTGAAGCTCTCAGCCCAGGCCTGTGGTCTCGACTGTCTGCGCTGCTCAGTACTGGAATAGGGGGCACGCCGGGGGTCTGGGTGGAGTTCTTGCCCGATCTGAGGAATGTGACGCACGGACGGGAAGGAACTCACATCGGCGGTTTCACGGAGGTGGAGCGATACTCTTTGGTAGAAAGATACGACAGGAGACGAGCTTTTCTTTCGGACTTGGGAGGTACGGAGCGGAATGAAAGACAAACTTCTTGAATGCAAAGTAACTGTGACAAAGTAACCATTCGTACAGAGGGCTTTTATCTTACATAGCGTCCTGTTTTATCTATACTCTCTGTGCGCCTCTTACTCTACTCTATTCTGTCCCTTGCAATATTTGAATTCTATCTTCTTGCTTTTATATCTCCGAAATCTATCCCAGTTACTTCAGCTCCATCGTGTTGTTACTTCACTAATATGGGTGGGATAAGAAAAAAAGTGAAATGCTTGTAACTTTCCTCACCTCCTGCCTAAAGTTTATGGAGGATTAAGTCATCCAGGTGATTGCTGCTCATTGCAAAACCTGAACAGTGGTGTTATTATAGTCTGGGCCTACAGAGGGATCCGTGTTGGCTGGCAACTGACAAAACTGCTGCTGCTGTCTCTGCAGCCCTTTGAAGAGACTCAAGACAAACATGTTTTTTGACATTGTAGAGCCTTGTCCATGTTGTGTTGTGCTGTAATTATGACTGTATTTACATAGCACCTCACACGAAAAGCAGACTAAAATGTCAATGAACTGTAGTAAACTATGGGAGATAAATGATGTTCTTAAGGGCAGAGACACTTTTACAAGCATGTCTGATGCTTGGTTGCACAACGCTGCGTATGCAGAACAGCCATGGCTATGTTATTAGGCCCAATCTTTGCTCTCTAATTTAAAGACGGTGAGATATAATAGATCCTTGCATTCTTATTGCACACGTCTTCTACTATTGACTTTGATCAATAGGCTTTGATTTGATCTTTAACACAGATGTGCACGGAACAATTTCATTTAGAGCTTTTATACAAACCAGCAAAGTATTGATTCAAACCTCACCTTTGCAAGCTCCGACTTGAGTCACTCAGAGTGACTCACTAGGTAGAAAAAGTCCTACATGTGGATGCAATTTTAGAAGGAAAAAGAGTTTGTAGTGCCAGCTTTTTTTTTTTGTGGAGCTTTTCTTCTCGTGTGCTTCTCATTATAGGTTTCATCTTGTCACACTAGCCATACGTCCCAGGCTGCATCCCATTCATGGCTTTGTTTGCATTGTGTGCATTACAGGGGCTCATTGTCTGCTTGTATCGGTGTTCTAATTCATGTGAGAGATATATTTTGCTGCTGTGCTTGAGAGGAAGACAAGTAGAAACATTTATGAATGCTGATCTTGTTTGGTTTTCCACTCGAGATGACCACAGACATTTAGGCAGTTGAGTCAGAAGACAAGGACCTGTTTTTCTAGCAGTGCTGCTGTGGGAGGATGAGTGCTGCCAATGCGTTCTCACATACAGTATACATACAAACGACCTCGGGCGGTCTCTCCAGTGGCATTCGACAGGTGAGATGAAGTGTGATGATGATACAGAGAGACGTGCACCGCTCTGACTCTTATCTCTGTTTTGTGTGCTAATCTGAAGAAAAGTGGCACTGAAAGGTCCTGACATCAGGAGACTACTGGCTCATCCCTCCAAACCTGTTTTCAGGTATTGTTTTCTCGATCCATTCACACTCAGTTATCGTACAAACTGAATCGACTGAAGAGGTATGCCAGATCAATCGTGGTGTTTGCTTAGCGAGGCGTGGTCAGATGCATGTGTGTGGGACAGAAAACAGAAAGGGAGTGACTTTTCTTTTTTCTTTTTTTTTTCTTTTTTTTTTTTGAGATTGTGCTTGAAAAATTGTGTTTCCTCAGGCTTATTTCTGTTTGTTGCAAGTTGAGACAGATTAAAAAATGCACACTTCCTCAGCTCTCATACTCTCTCTCCACCTTCGACATAAGGTCATTTACACACTTAGTGAGCAAACACTGAGCACATCTCAACATTGGCTTCATTGGCTTGAAGTTCTGTTGTCGGTTGGTTCCCGCTTGCCTGTCCTGTGGCCGTTTAGAGTTTCAAACTGGCTTTGCTGACATGTAGGACAGGCTAGTCCTTGTTTGAGCAACAGAAAGCTTTATAAATAAGGGAGGAACAGAGAGAGAAGAAAAGACAGATGCCTGTCATTGACAGTTTGATGCTAATTACTGTTGCTATAACGAAAAACAAAGCGGCAGTATTTGTTTGAACTTCCTAGCAGTCGGCCAGGTGTGGTAGAGAGAGTCAGACATGCTTCTTACGTTGTGTTATTTGTCTTTTGCCTCATTCTGCAGTGACCCAGAGGTCAGGATGGTGAATTGGAAACCCTCTGGCTTTGTTTAGAGCTGCTGTGCTCTCGAGTCACCTGAGTAGCTAATATCTATGTAGGGGTCGATTTGTACCAGTTCCCTTTGTTCCTTTAAGTTTGAGAATTCTTAAATGACAATTCAACCAGTCGACCAATTTATTTTTCAGGCAATAATTCTGAAAATTGCTAACTCCAAGCTCCTCTCTCGTGAGAATTGGCTCGTTGTATTTGGGGGCGGTTGAGCTCAGTCTGAAGGGACTTGCGGTTGGGAACCAGAGGGTTGCAGGTTCAAGTCTGAGTTCACTTCCTGCACACTTCCGATGTACCATTGAGCAAGGCACTTGACCCCCACCAGCTCAGGGCAGCCCCCTCACTCTGACATCTCTCCATTAATGCATGTTCATAGACCCTGTTTGAGCATGTGTGAAAAGTGCGATACAAGCTCAAGGCCATTTACCATTTACCGTGAGTACATCAGCCTCTGTGTGTGTGTGTGTGTGTGTGTGTGTGCCACAACAGAGTGTAAAATAGAATTACCCCTCCTGGGATTAATAAAGGATATCTTCTTCTCCTATCATAAATATCTGGTGGTCAGGCATGATTTGTGTCTCTCTTTAATAGGATAATTGAAAGAACGATGTTATATCAAAATTGAACTCTGACTCATGTTGTGTTTCTTTTGTTATGTTGCCATGTTAGATGTCTTTTCTGAGTTTTCATCATCACAGGCAAGCAGATGCATATCTCTGTTGTTGGCTGTTATCACAAGTCCTCAGGTATGCACCTGTGCATTTTACTGCCGCCTCAGCATATTTCATGTGTATACAGAACAGGCCTTAGGCTGCTGCATTTCGTTAAAACTAAATGCATACCAAAACCAGATCAAAGTACTTGGGAATCTCCTATTTCTATTTTCTATTCCTTGGCAAGAGTTAAAATATTCCAAGCAGTATACGGCTTACACGTCTTCCTGCCCACAGGAAAACTTTTAAATTGGAACAGCAGACACACAGAAGCCTTGCTTCTATAGCTAGAAAGGAGAATGGAAACAGGATGTCAGCCATTTTGCTAGCAGATGAATCATCGCACAGCAACGTTGAACAAGTTATCCTCAGGCAAGGCCAGAACAGGCTACCCAATGACTCACAAGGCCTCTTGGTAAACCAGCTTCTGCCCATGATTGCGGGTTAGGACTTGGAGCCCTTTGCTGTCACGGATAGTCTTCAAGTGTGTGTGTGGAACTTTACAGAAAAACATGACAAAGTAAAGCAGGTACATCCTCACTAAACACCTATTCACCCTCCCACTCAGACATCAGCATACACACAACTACACAAATCCTGATCACACACGCAGGCTGTCAAATACCATCACTTCTAAAACTGTAGATTTCCATGCTGATGCACCAACAAAGTAAAAACACTTCCTGTTTTGACCACATGCCGCGAGATGCTAAATCAACCCGTGTGTTCCTTAGACTTACCAAGTGTTTAACATGCTACTGAATTATGGAGGTTTAGTTATTGTTAAACATCCACATCCACCTAATCAGCTAACCCATTCAGTTTCCAGCTGTTGAGACCACATTAAATAACGACGAGGGGTCATCCTGGTGGGCTCAGTTGTTGATGCATGACACACAACTTTGTTGTGGGTTAAAATCCAGCACAGAGAGATTCGTCTCGTACGCATTCTCTTTTATTATGCATCCCTTTCTCTAATTCCAAAGTAAGTCTTACAAGTGGCAGTGATTAACTACTTCCTCTTTGGAAAGCAGAAACATTAATACCCAAATAATGAACACATGAGAAATAATGATAGCCAAATGTAAACTTAAAGGCGCACTAACAAAAATGTGAAAGTTGGAGAAACGTACAGATTCTGTAGTATATGTTCATAACTCCATACACAAACTGTCCTCAGAGGAATATTTGGCCCCTGGAAAACTGTTAAAAGATAAAATGCTACGCGAGAAAGTTATGGTGGGGGGCCCGCAACAGTGAAACCGTAGCTCTCCTGGTAGCTTTGTTATTAGTTTGAATAATGTTTGTGTATTCAGTTCAGAATAAATAGCATAGAATAGTTTCACTTCTCCAACTTTCAAACGTCACAAATCTACATAGTGCACCTTTAACAAAGTGGATTAAAGAGTAGGTGAAACATGGTTGTGTAATCTGTTATCATTATACTGTTTAATAGGTATTATTGTTAGAAGTGAAAGAAGATATTAAAAAAATACCATATAAACAATAATTACACTACTTTGTTTCTGCTTCTCAGATGTGAAGGTTTTCTGTTGTTTCTGTCTTATTTGACAGTATAATTAAGTTTAAAGTGTTAGTCAAATCAAAGTAGTAATTTTATGACATCACCTTGGACTAGGGAAATGTTCGTGGCATTTTCTACTGTTGATGATTTTTATTTCCCTACAAGTCGGCCTATTTGTGACTTTGAAAGTATTCCAGAAAGAACAACTATGAAAATAAATGAAAGCTGCAAAGATTACTGTCTTGTGCTTTATTGTCATAGAGATTCTGTTAGTCAGGCTTAGCTATATTTTCCCTCCCTTACCGTCTCGTGTAGACTTGAAGAAAGAGAATTTGGTACTAATATATCAAAGTGACACATTTTGAAGCGTTGACTCTTCAGGTACGCAGACCTACAGAGTGAATTATTCACTTCTCTACCATCTGTTTCAGAACAATTACGCATTCACAAAGTATTATGTAATAATGCTGTACCTTCAATTATGACGAACTCTCTTCAAGTCTATTAGCTTACTCATCAAGCTCACCTTAATCAATTTATGTTACGACTGACAGATTTTTGAGGATGTGGTCTGAGGAGCGTGCCACACCAGTATGAAAGTTACTAATGCCTTTCACAACTGTTCCTTACACCTCTCTTTCTTTTCTCAAATCTTCTGACTTCACTTTTATCTTAATCTAATTCACAGCTTATTTTAGTTTACTAGTTTTTTTTCCTTGAAAGAGTTTTCTCAACAGCTGACAACAAATTGTAACCACAAAACTTTGAGGCAGCAGTAGCTCAGTCTGTAGGGACTTGGGTTGGGAACCAGAGGGTCACCGGTTCAAGTCCAGGCACAGACCAAGTCCAGAAGTTGGTCTGGTAGCTGAAGTGCCAGCCCTTGAGCAAGGCACCAAACCCCCACCAGCCCAGGAGCGCTCACAGTGGGCATCCACCTCACTCTGAGACATGGCCATAGGATGCTGTTTGTACATGTGTGTGTATTTTGGCCTATGTGTGTGTAGCATGTTCATTAGCAAGAGTGTAAAATCGAATTTGCCCTTGCAGGATTAATAAGTATAAATTAATTAATCAAAATTAAGCTGGCTACTATGGTGTGTGATGCCATAAAGTTTTACAAGGCAAGTTAGAAATAACTTGTTTGTCGTAGGTATGTCTATTGCATGTAAGATTGTCTTAGCATATTATACTGCACAAGTTGTCTTTTTTAGTCTTTTAAAACAGTAACCATTAGAATTCATTTAACACCTCAGGATAAATTATCCTTTCAAGATTTGTATCTTTTTTCTTCAATGACGCCATTAGTTTGACTTGTAAACTATATTAAATGTGCCCTGGCAGAATAATATTTCTGTGGTGATCTGTCAAAGAGGTTAACATCTGTTGGAGTTATTGTGTGTTATTGTCTTTGAGTTATTATCTTTGTTATTGTGTGCCAGCAACGGTGTGTTAAAATCAAAGACGTACACTGAACTGACTTCTCCAGCTTTGACTTTGCAACAATGGAAGCTTTGTGTTAGAGGTAATAGGTAATCTGTTCACTTGTGTATTCTGAGTCAAAGCATTCTTTCTCTCACCAACCTCAGCAGAAGTTGTAGTATCGTTTATCCATGATGGAGACGTGATGTGTACACATAAAAATACTCAACGGCCTTTGAAGCAGAATGCTAGTTTCTCTATGTCTAGGAAACCTGTAATGTGAATTCTGTTTTTGTGTCCAAACATCATTCTCCTGTACACTGACAGTGTGTCTCTTTCTGACTTTGTTGCACAGGTTAAAATGTACCTCCTTTAACTCTACTCAACCCTGAATCAGAACTTTTGGTCCCAACTCTCTTTCCAAAGATGCCAAATCGATCTCAGAGTTCATCGATTGGGGAAAACCCTCTCGACCCAAACTACCTGCCCCCACATTACCGTGAGGAGTACCGTCTAGCTATTGATGCTTTGATAGAAAAGGACATTAAGGTAATACAGAAGCTTTGTAGTTTAACTGTATTTTAATAACATTTGTTTAAAATACTTCAAAAAGATACCTAGCCTGGTATTATGATGTAATTACTTGTCTCATGTCACACTAGGGCTACTATGAGTTCCTCCAGAGCACAGATGTGGTGAATTTCCTGGCACAGCCGGAAATTGAATTTATTAAGTCCACAATCCAGACCCCTAACCTATCATCGAGCGTCCCAGAGCTGACATACCATGAAGGAGGTCATGAGGTTGATGGCTCCTCTGATACCTACTGGCCGATGCAGTCCGACCTGGCTGCACCGGGGCTGGACCTGGGCTGGCCACTGCCACAGCACAGCTTCCGGGGGCCCACAGAGGTCACCACTCTGGTCAACCCATCTGACCCAGACATGCCAAGCATCAAGGAGCAGGCCAGGAGACTCATCAAGAAAGCATGCCAAGTGAGTAAAAGAGGAGAGGTAGTAAACAGAAAGAAGGATTAAACTTCCATTATGCACTTTGCTTTCATGAAGTACAGCTAAGAAACCAATGCCATCTAAAGCTGAGGCCTTTTGTCTGTCACTACTTTATTTGCTGGCCTATGGATACATTAAAAATAGAATTTTCTGAAAATGTACTCGCAAAATGTCAGGAGAAGACAAATCTGTTGGTTTATTTGTATGTGTCTAAGACAGAGGTTCCCAAACTTTTCAGCCTGCGACCCCCAAAATAAAGGAGACCGTCTCTGGAGGTGATTAAGGCATCTAACGGTCTGACTCTATCCAAACACAAAAGGATACAACAGCCTAGAAACCATAAAATAATATAATAGAGTAATGTAATGTAAGAAAGGCTTGAAGCAGAATGCAAGACATTTCTACACATAGACTTTAGCACTGAGTGGACATACAAGACTTAATAAATAGACACACAGGTGTGTGCATCTTTATGTGTAAAGAGCAGCAGACACCTGTACTTTGTTAGTGTCATCTGCAAACTTTTATTTTAAGTATTTTTACACATTAATTTAATTTTCATTTCACTTAATGATATGCTTTAATCTGAAATTGAACTTCTTTCTTTGTATACAGTATATTATTACAATAATGGGTAAAAAGGCATAAAACTAGGCTAACTTAGGCTAAGACCATATTGACCCTATCAAACAATAACTAGTTTTCTTGTGTCTGCTCTTTTTCTTCAGGTTATTGCTGTTGTGATGGACATATTCACAGATGTTGACATTTTTTCCGACCTTTTGGATGCAACAGCACGACATGTTCCTGTTTACATTCTGTTGGATGAGCAAGATGCCCATCACTTTGTCTCAATGGTCGTCAACTGCAAGGTCAACTTGGATCTAAATCCTGTAAGTGTGCCTCTTTTTTATTTTACATTTTCCAAAAAGACTAGGTTAACAGACGGCCATCATATAGTACTCCATTGTGTTAAAGGTTTTTTTTATCTACTTCTTTCATTGCCCATATGTGCCAATTGCTCATCATTTTCACAAATGTTAAATTGTGCCCATAACATGATTTTTATTGAAATTGAATGGTTTTTACAGATGATGCGAGTAAGGACTGTGGGAGGAATAACCTATCATTCACGGAGTGGGAAATCATTTAAAGGGCAGGTGAAAGATCGTTTCCTTCTGGCTGACTGCAGTGCTGTACTAAGTGGCAACTACAGGTGAGCCATTTAAAAGGGTTTATTCATAGTTTATGAAATAACTTTTATCCACTCTTTAAATTAATTTACTCTTATTGCCTCCACTATTCTTTGATTTTTTTTATAGTTTCATGTGGTCTTATGAGAAGATCCATCGTTCCATTGCCCACCTCTTCCTCGGGGAGCTGGTTTCCACCTTTGATGAAGAATTTCGTATTCTCTTTGCTCAATCAGAGCCTCTAGTCATTGACCCATCTGATCGGCCACTTGCAGTCTCTGACACCAGCAGTACTAGCAGTTACTTTAGCAGCCAGTACGGTTTCAAGAGGACCCAGTCCTTGCGTGAACCCATCGGTTTCCGCAGGCTGCCTGAGATTACCTCGGGCTTTCCCTATGGAGACTCTGCACTTCCTTTCCGGAGGAATGACCCATTCCGCCACACCGCTGAACCTGGAGCAGGAATTACAATCGGGAAGTATTCACAGCAACAGTTTCGTCTGCAGCAGTCATATCTGGAGCAGGGAAGGTCCATAGTGTCCCGGCAGATGGAGATGAGTAGCAGTGCCTTTCAGAGGCACAGCTATGCGGAGGGAACCCAGGAAAACTACTCATCCTCAAGGCAATACATGAAGCACAGAGTCATGAACAATCTGGATGAGACAGACTTCCACAGGTAGTTAAACCTTTAATACCCACTATTGTTTGGAAGCCTAGTTATTACAAATTCACTTACGTGTCACTGTTTTTACACACACAAATGAATGTTGTCTTATATGTTGATTAAAAAATAAGAAGTATCTTTTTTTGTTGTCTTATTGTACAGTTCAACTCTTGTTTTGTTTTTTCGAATTTTCTCTTTAAATTAAATTGATTTGATTTGATATTTTCAGGGAGCAGACCAGAAGTAGCAATGAAGGGCCTGGGCCAGGTTCAGGCCATGGACACCGAGGTCGCCATTCACATCTCTCTATCGATCAGTATTCAGACTCAAGTTTTCGCTCAGATAAAGAGCCTCCACCAGGAAATCATGGCAGAGACTACTTTTCATCAGAGGATTTGAGAGGACCTGATGGGCACCAGGCTGCTCCATTAGCTGGGAGATATGGAGGAGGGTCTTCTCAAAAGAGGCCAACAATAGGTCAGGCATATGCCTGTCAGAACTCACCCACACAGCCCCATCCACCAGAGAAGCAACATTTCCCCAAGGAATCTGATCCAGAGCATGAAGAAGATGCAGAAGCTAGGCATGGCATGAGGAATTGGAGAATCCATTCCTATCTAAGCTCATATGAGGAAGGTGTAGAGGAGGGTCTTGCTCAGCCTTTGGGGCCTGATGCATTTGAAGATCCTCAACCATCTCAACAGCTAACTGACCCAGAAAGTTCTGCTCGCTTTGGAATAAAAGAGCAAGAAAATGTTCCCTCTAAACCCAGACCAGATGTCCTGAGACCCCGCTTTGGTAAGCCCATTTTACCTGAGAGCAGCAGTAAAGACCTTGTATCAACAACAACAACAAAGGATCTACTTCCGTCAGTCAGTGACTTAAAACCATTTGCACTGGAGAAAAAGGAGAGGGAGGCTGCAAAAGAAAGGGAGAGGGGGACAGATAGGGGTGCACCAAGGGAGGTTGGTGCTGATGTGGGGATGAAAGAGGGTCCGGACCGCCTCTTATCCAAACATGAATCATTCCGCACACGAAATAACCCACTCCTCCAACGCAGTTCTCGACTGCGTTCTTCACTGATATTTTCATCTTCCAAGGCCGAAACGCACAGTGGTAGCTTAGGCCTTAAACCAGCAACAGAGATAGACGAGGAGTTAGACTCAGTACGCACTTCTTCAATTGTGGCCCAGATCCTGGAGAAGAGAAGATCACTGACTCGTGAGCCTTTTGATTGGAGAAAGAAGGCGGAGGAAAAAGAGAAGGAGAAGCAAAATGAGATCGAGAAACCGAAAGAAGAACAGCCAGAGGAAAAGAACACTGTTTTGAAAGATGACATTCAAGCAAAAGCTGAATCTCAGAAAACTAAGGAAGAGGATAAGACATTACCAGCTGTCGAGAAATCTAAAGTAACATCAGCATCTTTGAACATGAATGACCCAGCTAGTCGACTACAGTATTTTCAAGACCTTGCTGCCAAGAGAAAAGCCTCAAAAATGGGCACAGAGTCATCGCTGAAAGACACAGAGCCTGCTGAAAAAAAGTCAGACCTTAGCGATACACCTCCCAAAAACACAGCTCCAGAAATCCCAACAGTTTCTATTAGTTCAGCAGAATCTGAACCAAAGAGGCCAGACATATCTGCAAAACTGGCAGAGCTCACTCGCAAACCTTCAGTTGGTTCCTCAAAACCACCAATAATCACTGCCAAGCCTTATGTGAGCAGCCAGAAGCCTCCAGAGACAAACCAAACTCAAAAAGAGGTGACTGCATCAGAGGGTCAAAAGAAGGATATATTTAAGTCCCTAAAGCCACTTGCTTCGCCAAAGCTCTTTAGGAAGGACCCACTGAAGCTTAAAGCGCTGAATCCTCGTCGTATCTCATGTGGTGAAGAGGTACTGGCAACAGACGCAACAGATGCAGAGAAGAGTGAACTAAAAAAGAGCCGCTCTCAAAGTTCATCCACTCTGCCACGTGATGACTCAAAGGAAGGACTGCAAAAGGTTATGGGATCTAATACATCCATCAACACTCTTGGTGAGGCAAAAGGTGAGGGCAAGACACTTGACTTCTTAAAGAAACAGACTCAGAGGCTCAAGGGATTCCTGGGGCCAAAGGATAAAGAAAAGAAATCATCGGGAGATGATAAGAGCATGAGCACGGTCATGGAGATCACTGATGATTCAAGCAAAAAGCCAAGTTCAGCAGGAAAAAGTACAGGACCTACTACTACTGATCCATCTTCAGCCAATCACAAGACAACAACTAGCACTTCAGGCCCAACCCGATACCAGGCCCAAGGCGGCTCTGTTATTTTTAGTAGCAACCTAAGAGATGACACCAAAGTGATTCTTGAGCAAATCTCCGCCAATAGCCAGAAGAACCGTCTGGAGAGGGAAGAAACAGGAGGGGAAAAAGAAAGTGAAAATGGGGAAAAGGTACTGGAGAGGCAAAACTCCTTAAGAAGAAATCGATTTCTCCGCCCACCAGGAAATGTCCAGGAGAGGGAGGGACTGCTGAAGAGGATAGAGAGCTTGAGGAAGGAGAAGAAGGTCTACAGCCGCTTTGAGGTAGCCTATCACAGCAAGGATGATTTTTGCAGTAAGAATGTAAGATATAGATGATCAAATTAACAAATATTGAAATACAGATTTATTTATTTCAATTTAAAGTATATTACGGATTTGAAAGTCAACTTTGGTGGACAAGCTATTATTTATTGCTTTGTATTTAAAATTAACTTTTTATGGGTTATTCTGCTACTTAAAAAAATTAATTGAAAATATGTTTTACTTTTCTCTTTTCAAATGTGTCAAGGGAGAACTTTAGATAAGACTGTCATCTGATGTCTTTGATTACTAACAGTGAAGATGAGGTGGAGAGGGACAGTACATTGTAAAATCGGCTGGAGTTAATACTGTAATGCATTCATTGTTATCCCTGTTCTGTTTACAGATGGGGAATAACCTGGGATAACGAGATGGAGGAGCGACCTTTTATATGGAAACTATTTATGCAAGATGATCAAAAGAACAATTGCCCATATGTGCCAACGACTCTATCAAAGTACCTCTGTGGCTCCACACCACAGCCTTTCCTGACTTTCACACAAAGTAATAAAACTTGAAGAGACAATATATAAAATGCTGAAAACAAACTTTGGATAATGAGTTTGGAATGTGCCCGTTTGCCAAGTCTTGGTACTACTTTTACCATTTATGGTGACTGAGATAAAGAATTGACTCTACTTGTGCAGTGGCTGCATGGGCTGGTGTTTCATCAACCAGAAAAAGATTAGGCAAATTACCGATAATTGATTTTGTATGAACATGACTGAGGGAGTTGAGAAAATAAAAAGGAAGAAAGAACATATTGCTCCTGAGGGAACATGAATATGAATGAACATGTATGTGTGTCAGGTAGAACTTGTTTGAAACTGAATGGGAGACAGTGCCTTTGTGGATTCAACATGTGCCAATGGCTGACAAGGGCTTTGCTAAAGCTGGAAGGACTAACACACAGGATAGAGAATATGCGGTATGTTGTTATGAAGAGGAATAGACTTCGATGAAGTGATGAATGTTGAAAATGTAAGGACAAGTGTGCGAGATCATAGAGTATATGGAGTGAGACAAAATTATTAAGAATATGTTAACTCAAGTTAAAGTAGTTAAAGTAGAATGGTTTCAATCAAAAGAGCTTTTAGTGAACTTTGCCCTCTACAGAAAGAGAAGTGTACCTTTCCGTTAAGGCGTGAAATTACTTAACAGGGTTAAGGATATCAAATGACCAGTTAGAGAGGGGCCTTTCAGTGCTCATGGTAGAGGAGTTGTGTTTGAAATGTAAATGTAATGTTCTCTTTTGCAGTCCATATAAATTGGAAAGTAAAACTGTACACAGCTGCCCTTAACTACTGCAAAAAAAAAAAAAAAAGCCATTTTGAAATTACTCCAAATGTTCCATTCTCAGATAATTAACAAGTCATTAACTGTAAAAAAAAGTTGGACAAAAAGAGAAAGTGTGCATTTTGCAGTACTGGAGCAAGGTATTGCCAGCATACACAAGTTATCTAACTTCTTGAGCTACGCCCTGCAAGTTCCTTTGTTCAGTCTAAACATAATTAAACCAAGGGTTTAGTTTAATTGTACAGTTTCCAGGCTGCTTGACAGCCCGGTTGAGCATCAAATAATTCAGTCTTTGATGTCTTTTGTAAAAAATTTAAAAGATTGAGTGGTCTTTTGCTATGCAGACACATCAGGGGCTACAGCTTTCTCATGGGATAATGTAAATATTTATGTATAAAGAGCTTGGTGATGTTTTAATAATGAAATAAGATTATGGTCACCGTTACCTTACTTTTGCTGTGACTTGTTCTTTTTTAATAAAGGTGTAAATATGTGGTCTTGGCTGTACAAAGTAATTGGTGTTGATTAGGGGAAATGTGTTTTTCACAACCTGAGATAGTATTACATTGTGTTGGAAAGTTTGCAAGTCTTTTATTAAATTACTTTGAAACTTAACCTGAAGGCTCCTGTGTGTAAATACTAATACTATGTTAACTGTAGTGTGTGGTTGTCCTGTTTTCATGTATATGTAATTAAAATAAACCCATTTGACATTTAAAAACAACTTTATAAATGCACAGCATAAGCCTGAAAAATGACCCGTCACCCACCAGTCACAGAAAGTAAAACATTTTAGATATCAATGTTCCAATCCAATTTCACATATCTACCAGGGTGAAAAAAACAGATTATGAAATCAGTTCCATGTCTTGAAGAATTAAAATAATATTGTCAATGAAACAGTAAAATAGTTAAGAAACAAGAAATATTATATTATACAAGCGCATATTATATATAGATTAAAAACAGGAACAGTTTACACTAAGGTGGGAAGTATAAATAAGTGGTGTCAAAAACATTGGTTATTTTAGTACATTTTTAAGTGAAAAAAAGTATTTTCCTCTGATTCTTTCAAATGACCTCTATATGCATCTTACTCCTCCTAATTCTCTGCAGCTGTAGACCCTGGCTGCTTCAGTTCCTTTGCCTCCTCTAGCTGCTCTTCAAGACTGTGCAGCCGATCCAACTTCATTTGTTCTTGAGGAATTACCAAACAAAACAAAAATGTTGGAAATGGAGGACAAACTTAATTCATGTGTATTGAAAAATGTTATACATGATGTATGTTTGTGCATTAAACCTGAAAGGGAACTTACCAGCTGATAATAGCTGACTTTTTGTCTTCTCAGCACTTTCTATCTCACCTGGGAGCCTTTCCAGAGTCTGTGGTAAAATTTTGATGGACGAAAGTTACTCAAATCTTCAGCATTTTATCCCAAAGAGGGGAAATACGTGGAAATTTATTCAAAATAAAAATAAAAAGACTAACTTACAAAAACAGAGTGCAGATTTTTGTGCTGCTCTATCAGTAACTGGAGTTGGTTTTCAAACTTCATGCTGAAAAATAAGAGTTACCTGAGAAAACTTTTATCGAAGTTAACATTGTCTGATTATTTGACTGAATTGAATATTTCTTTGCACTCTAAATAAGTACCGCTGCTTTCTGTGTTTAAGCTTGAATCCCTGGATTTCACATCTATACTGTTCCAGCAGTTCATCACTTTTCTTGTTGTGCTCTAACTGCCTGCAAAACAAACATCTAACACTCAGTTCAACTCTTCAAATGGAAACATTTTCATTGTAACACAATTTGTTCAAAAATAATGCCTGGTCGACTTCTAACAAGGTTTTAAATATATACTTCTTAAAACTGTGATTTTTTTTGTTGTTACCTTTTTGATGTTTTGTTCTGTGATTACATCGCAGAATTTAAAGCACTTACTAATGTTGTTACATTAGAGTCCAGCTCTGACTGCCAAACTTGAAGAACAAGCACATTACCAAGTAAATATGTTGTGACATACTGAATACAATGGAATACCATCCCATAATGATCCTGTGACTGAAAACAAAAATATCCTATCTCAGAAAGCAGTATTAAGAGTGGGTCACTAACTATTAATATGTAGTCTATTTATTCGTACAGGAAATAGCTTATAATCAAAAACTAACCAACACAATTCAAAAATGATAAAATGACAAAATTGTTGATGTAATATATTCTAAAAATGACTTAAGACATTCATAAGCTGCACTATTAGTCCACAACAAAGAAATTAAACAATTACAACAACTGGATCTCCACATGCTCTAATTGGATGAAGGGCACTATCAAAAAGTGGTCAGCATGGAGTAAATGTGCCGGTGTAACATCTTAGGAACAATGTCTGACATCTGATAGTTATTTTTATTAAGGATTTTGCTGCCATCTAGTGTTACAAACATATCATTACATTTTACATGGGGTTTATAAGGATCAGCAACATATGGAAGCACAATCCAAAGACATGCTATAGTATTCTTGATCTGTCATGAGTAAAGTCACCTGGCAGAGTCCTGCTCAGACTCGTCATACTGGAACTGCAGCTTCCTGCACAACTCTAGAGAACAACATTCCAGTGATTATGCTTATTATCATCTAAATACTTATTGTCTATATCTACAATATATGGCAATTAAAACTATCTCCAGTCACATTCCACATAAACATGAATGTACAACATGGCATAAAACATTCAGACTTACTGGAATATAAATAATTATATAAGCAAAATTGATGTTAGACTGTGTATACCTTCTTTTTCTTTATGGATTCCTTCCAGCTGGTAAGCTTCAGATTGCACTATAAGAAAATGAATTCCTATATGATGTACAAGTTTAAAAAATGAACATTGTATTATGAATAGCATCTAGCAAACATGTTTGCCTAGCAAAAACGAATAGTTAATTTCTACTTCAGCAACAGGTTAATACAGCAGGTAGAATAAGTACAAGTAATTAGTACATTAAAATGAAATATTACTAATGATGGTGTTCCTTACGTGTTGCCAGTTGTTTCTGCAAAGAGTCACGAACTGATTTGGTCATCTTTATTTCTTCTTCCAGAAGCTTTTTACCTTAAATAAAATGACATTTATTTTGTTTAAAGTGTAACTATGCTATACAGATACAGAACACACCATACTTAGACATAGTAAACCAGAGTCACAGATGCTCTAGCAGAAATTTAAATTCTAACCCATAGTTATACTGTGTTTAAAATTTCTAAAAGGAAAACCTTTAAGTTATTTCATTTGAACAGTATAATCAGAATGGTCTTACAGGGTGTTGCAGTTCCCTGTAAGATGGAGATGATAATCATATCTCATCAAGGTCCATTCATCATGTTCTGATACTCCACGTATGGAGTAACAGGTAAGGATGTACCTCACTGAAGATGCCCGACGAGCGACACAAAGAGTCTTATGTTCCATCCGCACAGCAGCCTCACTCACGGTTTCAAGTTTTCACGTTACACAAAATCTTCTGAGTAACAATAGATACATGTTTTGAATTGATATTCGGACTCATGCTGTGTACATTTACAAAAGATTTAGCTAAAAATAGTATAATATAGAAAAACACGTGTTCATTAGCATATGGCTTGTACATCCAGCCTTTTCATTGGAGGAGCCGCAGAAAGTTTTTAATCGATATTTTCTCCCCAAATTGAAACGTTTTCGCAATGCAGGAGCAGCTTACCTTTTTGGGGTCCGAAAAAAAAATGTAGAGGACGGACAAACAAGCATCCGTAGTCATTTTAACAACTTAAAAACGTGATATAAGAAAAACACAGCGGAGTTACCAGCGGAAGCGGAAGTGTATCTTCACAAAGAGTAAGTAACATGTCAAGATCAGTGTTCGTAGCTGCGTTACTAGATAAAATGCATGACAGTACTCACTAGTGAACGTTTGGTCATAATTTTAGCAGTGATAGTATTTTTTATTATTAAGGCAGGTGAGTATGGCACCAAAGGATGAGTCATCATCACAACAACGCGCATGCGTGACAAAAGAACACGCAAAACGCGTCGCTCCAACCTCAATTTAACATTTTGTCTACAGTAGCTATGAGATCAAATGTATCTCACGGGGGAAATGGTACACACGTTTTACTTAATCGCCTGAGTGAAAACAAATGAAATGAAACCAGCATGGCCAGCCATAAAGCAAAACGTTTTGAATTAATCCAAGATTCTCAATTTCCCATTTAATGAAAAACTGTTGCAAAAATCTAATTACAAAATCATTTTGTCAAGCCTTGTGTTAATGTTTTGAAGACATTCAATCCATATTCACTGGTATTTTAATATTATTATTATTATTATTATTATTATTATTATATCCTTGAAAAATAAATGGATGATCATTTGTTCGGAGGATGTCGCTGTGTTGTCTGAACCATAGACTAAATATTAAGGTCTGAACACGTCCATACCTTTCATGCAGTACAAAAAACATGTATTTGAATGTTTTTAAATTCACTTTCAAGACAGTCAATCACTACCTTGTTGCAGCCTCCGTAATTTGCCAGTCAGCTGTTCAACCTTTAGCTCCTGCATGTCTCCACCTTAAGGCAGGATGAACAAATGAAAACATCAACAACTTTTCAGTATCAGTGTAATTTGTATTAATTAATTGTTTTACAACTATGACAAGTTTACCTCCTCTCCCTGGTGTAGTCTTGATCATTTCATCAATGTTGAATGCTATACCACAGAAAATCCTTGTTAGAAAAGTGAAAAATAATCTTACCTTCTCACCATGTTGAACAGCATGATGTAAGTTTGCTGATAATGTGGCATTTTATTTGCACGTTTATTGTTAAGCAGGGATCCATTTTGGTATTTCGTCTCAGATTTAAAGATAGATAGTCTCAGATATTTAAGATATTTACTCACTCCCGAAGTAAATATTACTGTATCTACAGTAAACATATATTAGTTTTCAAACTGAAACATAGGTCAAATATTAAACACATAAATGAGTGCTGGCTTGCTTCAAACAAATGTAAATAATATAATTAATAATAATAAATAATATTAAGCCACTGGTTTTATTCTTTTTTAGTAGGCTTACTTGCTAACAGTTATGGTAAGTAGTTAGCTGGTGGAAACACTTTTTTATGAAGTAGCTAACAAACACTGTCATCTCAAATAATTATTCGAGTTATTTATATTTAATAAGCAGAAACAAAAATATTTAGATGCTCGTAGTTCTACTCAAATCCACAAGGTCTAACCTGCCGAGTCGCTCATGTCTGTCCAGTCAAGGGAGTCTCTTTGGAAACTATCCAGATCGATAAAGAAAGTTTAAGTTAGCCTCCAATACTAAATGAAGGGGTGTGCGTGCGTGCGTGCGTGCGTGCGACGACTTAACGTGACGTTTGGCGCCAAAAACACTTCTAACGTGCGCAGACACCACGGTGGTGCATGTCGGTGCTCTTACAAACTTAACATAAAACTGCAGCTTTATAAATGTTTCATCATTTATCAGCACAACTCGCCACATCTTCCGTCTACTCTTTACAAGTTAACCTTAAATATTTGTCAAGAAATTGTATGGAAATGACATAAATAAAGTTCCTCAAGTTTGATTAAGAAGTGACCAGGAATGGGACAAATCATGACATGGTATTACAAACAGTAATATTAATGTTGTGGTCAACATACCTATCAACTGATTTCATATTTGTGGGCAGTTACAATAAGTCATTTATAGTACAGGTATGTCAATTATTGACCAAAGTTCAGTTGTTTTCAGAAAATGTCTTAACAAAGACCCTGTTTGTTAGACAATCTTGGTGTACAGTTTCCTTTCAAACTATTGAAACAGAAGGGACCACAAAAGGGAAATCTTCACATTATATCAGTTTTAATGAAAAGCGAACAGCAGTGTAAAGGAATGCAGTTCTACCTTGATGTAATGCCAATATACAGTGCAAACAGTCCTACAAAGCACCAAGATTACTTTGTCTTTACACATCAAATCACTACAGAGTTCTATATACACATACACATTAATTTAGTTACAAACACGAGTTAAAAAAAAAAGTCTAATAGGGCTGCTGAACAACACTGTGTTTCTCCAAAATAGGGTTACCTGTAAAGTGTGCATTATCAGCACATGCAAATGTTGGAAACGGTCATGCCAGACATGAAAGATCAAATCAGAAGTTACAAGTTCAATGTATTAATCAAGGTCAATTTTATGGGTTTTGGATTCCAGTTCACACTGGTTTCTCTTGCTTATTTCACCTAGTTGAGCAAGAGTGTAACCAGTAAGTTCTGTTTCCAGAACTAGCATCAGAAATTCAGACTGTACCATTTCGTAACACAGCTCTGGATTTCTTCCTCAACACTAGCTTATTGCAACTCAAAGCAACATTGTTATCTACATCAACCTCAATAAATAGATAAGTTATAATTACAATTTCCTTCAACTCTGGTGTCACCAGTTCTGAAACTAGGAATAGCTTGCCATTAAAGTGGTCAACATTTCCAATACTTTCATGAAAACTTCACAATAGTGGTAAACAGGGTAGGAAACAGCACTTAATTGTCACTTCACATTAATTGCCAGATGGCAGGAAATTATTGAGGATAGTAAAATAAGAAAGAAGGGAAGGGAGTCATATAAATAATTTCAAAACAAAGTGTATCTTCCTTCTAAAAAGATATTCTGTAAGAATATATATAGCTTTACGTGTGTCATATACATCCAACATTTACTGTCATTCTTTTGCCATTAAAAGATTAAAGTTACTGTACTGGGTTAGCAAAGTTCTGATATCAGAGCATATTTCTCCCCAAGAGCAACACATCCAAATAACTCAGTCCAGCAAGCCTCTCAGGGCAGGGGGTATTGGCATCATATACAGTAGTACATAAACTATTTACAGCCGTGACAAGCAAGCTAGAGGTATTCCTCTGGTAATAACTTTAACACATCTTTAGTGGTGTTTCCAATGTTGCCATGCAGTTACTTAACACCATCAGGCTGAAAGGGAGGGTTAAGTAAGGGAAAATAGACAGCTTAAAGGCGGAGTGTATTTCTAGCACTAAATTATGCTCTTCTGGAAAAGCTGGTTTACATCAATATCGAGCTCTACTGATATCTTCCCTGTTCTTTTTTTCTGGTTTATCTTTGCAGCAAGACAAGGTGGCGTATCAGACACCCTCAGAATATTTCATACTGCATGTGCCAGGGGTAGGTAATGGTGACATCATGTAGCCTTCTGTGTGAGTAGAAGCGGAGGACAGTTACAGCAAGCAGAGTGGTCTAAATTGAGGAAAAGACACACCTTAACGCTTGTCACTAAAATTTGTGTTCAATAAATAGTGACCCTCTCAGCTGCTTTTTAAGACATACTGCATCTTCTTCAAACAAAATTACATGTTTAAAATTCTAAGAGTATCATGTGAAAAAGGTTAAAGGAGAAATAAGTGGGTATTTGAGCAGAATTGTATGCCACAGGGAGGCTTTTTCTATCTCTCCCCTGTTCACGTAAAAGTGCAGCTTCATTCACGGGAGCGTCCAACAATAGCAAGGATGTAAAGGAAAATGTTGATGATGTCAGTGTAGAGGTTGAGGGCAGCAAAAATGTATTCCTCTGGACTCAGGGCGAGCTTCTTGTTGCCCAGGAGCAGCTGAGTGTCCACAGCCAGGAACTGCAAGGAAGAAGAAAAAAAGGCTGGTTAGTTATAAGAGATTTCCACACTGCAGACCTAAGATGAATGACATGTTCCTTAGTTTTCCCAACTGTTGTTAATCCACCACATGTATCCAAATACTGTCCTAAACTTACACCATGATTAAATGTACAAATTGCCATGTCAAATTCATTACTGCATAACACACAAATATTACAGCTGCACATCTTAAGATATTATTTACAGTTAGTAAATTATTTATTCTTATGTAAGATACTTTTAAGATACAATTTGCTGCAGAAGTTTATCATAATATGTATAGGCACACATTCCTGTTATATTGATTCACGGCAAGGATTCAATTCTTTTACTGTTTAGTCTGTGATCTTCTTAGTCTGTGTGAAGACTCGTCTATTCACAGTGTTTTAACAGATGTTTTGGTTGAGTTTGGCTCTCATGATGCATGGTCATATATTTAGATCTTAATATCACAGTGAGTGTCCCACTTTCCTCTTGCTAAGCATTAATCTCTTTCCAACTTGGTTTATATTATATTCTTAAACTTTCTGCAGATGGAATGATCCCTTATTTTGCAGATTACAGTTAACCATCTCTATGCCAATGATGATGAGGATCTAGTTACTGCAAGCAGATGGCTGGATGCCTTTATAACATCAGTACACAATCACACAACTGGATAGTGTATTTACTGATCAGACCTTTGAAAAATTATATTTTCATTGCTCCAGTAACATAGTCAGAATTACAAAAGTGTTGCACCAAATATATGTTTAGCAGCCAACTGAAACTGAAAGGGACTTGGAAAAGGCTTTCACTTTTGGAGAGCAGTAAGTGTGAAACGTACGCATGTGAAGAGCAGGGCCCCCAGGGAGGCATAGACAATGTGCAGGATCCTGTGGCGGATGAAGATGCAGAGGATCGAGAAGAGCAGCAGAACGATCAGGCACACAAACAATACGCCCCTACAGGAAGTGAAGTCATATTTGCTCTGCAGGAAAGAAGGGGGGGAGAAGAGAAAGACATGATTAGAAAATACATGCTCTGATAAAAGGTCAGTAACACAACTTTAAGGCCTTTATTTGCATTAATTTCTCTTAAATCAATTTTGTTTGTTTAGTTGCTGTGAAGAATGTGCCTTCAGAGGCCAGTGTAATGTGTGAGGCTTTCTAGGTTCAACACTTTACTGTGACAAAAAACAGAAGAACATTTTCCCTTTTGCTTCTAAAACCCATAAAATGACAAAAGGCCCAGAGGGATAATACCTGTCAGTGTGCGTGGAAAGATACATTATTTTTTCTAAGAAGCTGTTAGTTTGTGTTTACCTGTAGTGAGAAGAGGACGACAGTAAAGCACACCACAGCAGTGATGCCCACAGCCATGATGACAGTCTCTGTGTCATAGAAGCTGGCGATCATGCCAACCATGTAGGAGAGGCTCAGGGTCAGGATGGACTGCAAGACACAGAAACTTAACATCACTTATGGCACACTCGTGTTACACGTTGCAGATTCAGAAGATTATTTGAAGCCTTCAATCAGGGGTGTCTTTGATCATTGGATATCCAATATATAGTTTCCATCTGTCCACATTATTAAACAATCTAAAATCAAGACCAGTCTATATACATTTAGTTACAGATCAATGGTAAACACAATATGTATACAAAATACAAAAATCCTTTAACATGTAGACAAGCTATAACTTTTTATAGTCCATATTACTACAGTATGACCGTCTTACTAGTGCAACGAGGTTCCAGGGGTGCTTGCGACGGAAGTCTCCACAGCAGCTGAGGGTGATCAGAGAAACGAAGAAGACTGCGTAGGACACATAGTACGTCCAGGGATTACGTCGCACAAAAATCTTGGCATCATCGACAAAGGTAAAGACGGCAACAAAAGAGAAAGTGACCAGCAGCTGCACCGTGAGCACCATGAACACCTGTGGAATAGAAAAATGAGACCAATGTTTACATTAAGTTACACCACATGCTTCAGAATTTTTTTATTCAAATAACATCTTCAATGTATTGGGGAGCTGGTGGCAGAGTGCCAGTGCCCTAGTGGTTAGATTGTGCGCAGAGTCCACAGTCTTCAAAGCGGACTGCCGCATGTCATTGCCCACACTCTTTCTCCCTGATTTGTATTTAAATATGTATTAAAGGACCTACTTTTCTGATGAAAGCTTGTCGGATGTTCTTATCCTCAAAACCAGAGTTGGTGAACTCGTCGTTGTCATAGTAAGATGGAGGCACATCTCCATGGTAGCCAGGGCTACCTGCTGGTGCTGGAGAAAAATCAACAAGAAAAGTAAGTTTTAAACACACTCAAAATCAACAGGCAAAAACTAGGCCAAACAAATTGACCAAATTCTGTGACATTTCTGCACACTCTTGATTATTATTGATCATCTCATTGATTGCCCAGTCATCTGTGTTAAGTCTAGTCTAAAGCAATTTCAGAAACCTTTGGCAATCATCGTCTGACAGACGATATATGCCTCTGAGAACAGACATGAATTTCACCATAACTCTGGTGAAGCTAGAGGTTAGTGTTAAATAACTTCCAGGCATATTTTCTTTGTCCATAACATCCCTGAGAAGCACCCGTTCATCTATTGGGTCTGAGTTCAACGGCAGAATGTAAGTTATACTGCAGCTTCACTCTGGCTCCCTTAAGCACTATGAGACCGAAAAAGAAACCAATTTCAATGTGTTGTAAATTAAGTTTAACGACGCAGATTTGTAAAAACATGTTTGCTTGTTGAATCAAGGTTGGTTTGATCATTTTTGTTGCGTTTCAGGTAGTCAGGAAATCTAAACACCAACCACAGCGTCGAGCAAATTAGTGGCAAAAGTTTAAATGATCTATAATGGATGTTAGCTTCACTTTTATGCAGATATCCGTTTACAGAGACAAATAAATCATAAGAACATCTTCAATGGGAGCTGGTATGTCATTGGCGAGGGTAGCGTTCTCCTTGTTTATTGTTTTCTACACAGATAGTTTAACCTGAATACACCAAATCCTGCTGATACGCCATTGGTCAATACAACTCTGACAACAAATGTACTTCAAACATAAATCAAAACACATATCACAACGATCATCCTAAACTACGGGTGCGATGCATGGATTCTGGTATCCAAGTGCTCCAAAGAATTGTGCATCATTTGCTCCCTCTATCTGCTCTGTCTTATTCATAAAGCATATAACTCTAATGATATTCAGGCTCAAACAAAAACTTTGAGACTGTGTGGTAACTTCAGCGCAGTCACCCACTTTTAACTGTGAGTGGCCGTTAGTGAATTGGGACACTTGTTTTGCAAGGCGGCTGATTTGCACAGAAAGGAGACCATTTATCTATATGACTGCACTGTGTAACATTCAAATACGCACAATCACCTCTAGGTGCACAGAGGCACTGTTTGCTGTGCAATATGGAGTGCATTTAACCGCCTTACAAGTGCAATATAATCTCAGCCGCAGAAAATATCAAAACAGCGCATAAGAAGCTTCACCTTTATGATTTAGATGTTTCTAACAAACAATAAGGTGGCTTGTAAGGGAAACTTATCATAACTTCAGTTTTATACTAACCCATTGGGTCCCCAGCAAAGCCTGGCTGCTGGTAGGGCCCCTGAGGGTAGGGTCCCTGTGGGTAGGGCATCTGAGGGTAAGGCATCTGAGGGTAGGGACCAGGGGCAAAACCTGGGCCTGCCTGGGGGAAGCCTGGCTGCCCATAGCCAGCTGCTGGTGGGTATGGTCCCCCTGGGGCTTGGCTGTAGTTGGGAGGGGGCATACCAAAACCAGGCTGAGGGGGTCCGTAGACGTTGTTATGAAGTGGGTTGGTCTCACCCATAACAGGGTATCCACTCTTGTCCTGAGACATGCTTTGGTTGAAGTATCACTCAGCAGATAGAAGAATCTATAAGATGGGGAGAAAAATAATTAGGATTAGTTTGGTTAAAACATCTCTATGCAGCACAAATATACATTAATCAGGTATGAAGAAATTCCATAACTTATGTCAGCAGAACTTTGATAATCAATACAGTGTGAACACCTGTACTACATCTTAAAAGTCCAAGGAGGCAGGAGAAAAAAATGTAAGTGCAAACTGTCTGGAACCAAACTGGAAGAGATACAAACGTTGCATCAGCCTGATTAAAAAATGTGAAAGGCAACCAAACTAACACGAGAAAAGGACAGAGTTGGGGGAAAGGGCTACAGTACATTTCCGTACTACAAACAATCCACATTCTATCTACGCTATCTTGTTATGTCAGTTTTCCTTCGTTTATGGCCTAATTTACTCTTTTTCAAAATGATGTCAAATTTTATTTGTCTATGTCATTGATTCCCAACTCGCACTCCATGCTGATGTTGATGAGTACTTATCAAAGGCATCATGAGCGGTCGACCCCTACACCTCCAGCCTTGAGGATGTGGAAAACTGAGGCTGCGAAGATGAGCTTGCCAACCTTGCGATGATTTTGTGTCAAGGAAATAGTTCAAGGAGGATGGATACAAAATGTTTTGGATTGTGAAAGGACATGCTGTTGCACCAAGACTGGCCAAACATGCAATTACGAGGGTTATTCTCCCATTCAGCACTTCATATGGGTACTGATTATTCACTCATCTAGAGTTTGGTGGAAGAAGTCAAGTGCTTTGTCAATAGGAAACTTAAAAAGTAAGTTCAACCAGTGGTCAAATGAAAGAATTTTTCTGCTGATATGTTTCACAACAGGCTAAACTCACACCTAAATTAAACTTTGACTGGCTTGCTTAATCAACATTATGGCCTAAAAGATAAGTAAAAGCAGGTATAGATGATACCAAAAGGACATGGTAGACAATGTCCACCGTGGTGCGGGTTGTGTTTCCATGGATGCAGTGCCTTGGTAACCAAATGTATTATTAATCTGATTTGCTCCTGCAGAAGGCCTGACCTGTGGGTCATTACTGCAGTGCTCCTCCTCCCTGCAAGCAACCTGCAAAACCTTGGTCAACCATCGACATTTACATTGAAACCTAAAATGCCAATTCAAGTTCCACACACATGACAAAGAAGTACAACTACAAAAAATCTGAATCTCTCAGCAAGTGAGGTCAGATTCAAAAGGTTGATAAGTGATGTAAAATGTGCTGTTCACATTTCATTTGAAAGCCTGCAGTGCCCAGGGAAATCTTCTGTTGGGCAGATTTCGAGCCAAAATCAATTCCACTGATTGCTGACTTCAAAAGAAAAGCTTTTTGTGGACAGCTGCATGGTTTAAAAGTTGTGCATAGGCCAGTTCTGAATGAACTACTGCTTCATAGTATTAAATAATTTGTATGTGCATTCAAGTGCATTCATATGCACTTGAACACAAGCAAGCACATCCTCAGTTATGTCTTTTTAAACACAGAAAGTTCAATTACCGGTAAGTGGCAGATTAGACTGATGAAAATTACGTTTTCCATTTCTCTAAGTCTCTTTCACCTCCTTTTCCAGGCCACACTGAATTTACAAAGCGCATTATGCAACACTGCTCTATTTCGTACTAGAAAACACATCTCGTGTATCCTCATGATCCCTGTCAAGCCCATTACCAAGACAGTAAAGAGAGGATGCAATAAACATGGTGAGTACTGGCACTGCTTCACAATGACGGTCTCTGTTAAGACTATTACAGATAAAACGTATGTGTAGTCAAATCCCTCCTGGCCTTCAGGATAATGGTTGTGCAAGATGGGAATACAGTACACTTTGTGTGGCAATGTTTTCTAAATGACTTGAACTGTGTTTTACTGTCAAATGTACACCTAGCCCTTTGGTGTTGATCACAATAAAAGGTTGTTTGCTTAATTCACACAACACAGGACAAAATCTATGTCCACTGAAGTAACCCAGAGATAACTGAATAACCCAAGCCTCCTGAACTAATCAGTAACACTCACTGTCAAAGCATGTGATCCACTCCCTGTCCAATGACCATTTAAAGAATTTATGATCATGCAGAAATTAATTAAAATAGAATTGATAATCACCAGTTTGAATTCATGTCAAAGTTTCTAAATGTTAGCAATCACATACAGATTCTAACTTAAGTTCACCAGAAGTGACTTCAGTATTTATTCAGTGTTTAATGAAGTTGTACTTGTCTTTTTGTAGTGCTTAATCCATGAATGATGAATTACCTCCACTGTAACACATCATTTGGCCAAGGGATTTGGGGTAGTAAAGGTGATAGATGCATGAAGTCACAAGAGCTAAACAGACAGCCATCTCATCTGTTATTTTGGTAACATATGAATGTGTTTAGAGACATTATACATGTGCAGCTGTAGTCACTAAAAGAGGACTTCATTTTATAGGTATACATGTTAAAACTGTAGAACAGTGTTTTAAAGGAAAATAAATAAAATAATTTTAAAAGTGTAATCTCTGCTATCCATTCATTCTACAAAATCAACCACCACAATAGTATACTTTGGTTTCAGTGAAGTAAAAGTGAATACAGTAATTTACACTTAGAACAGTTTGTATTTCTTTTTGAATCAGTTGGAGGCCATGTTTGTTTGGCTTTATAAGCATTACCAGGAGTAATCAAATAATCTTTGGAGAGATTCCCTGAATACAATGGACATAAAAAGTGCCACAATCTCAAGGCGCTGGCTAGCCTAGAGGCGGTTATGTTGCACGCCGCCCCATGTACAGAGGCTGTAGTCCTCGGCACAGTGGCTGTAGGTTTGAATCTAACCTCCACCCTTTGCTGCATGTCCACCCCCCCCCCCTTCATCCCAACATTTCCTGTCTCAAGCTTGAGCTGTCCCATCAAATAAAAGGCAAAAAAATAACTTGTTAAAAAACCAAACAAACAAAATAGTGCCACAGTCTGCCACCATCCAGTGTTGTGTTTAGCTAACGCTAGTGGAATTAGGTTAAAGGAAGGATTCAGAAGCTTAGCCATAGAGCCATGTTAACACAATTAGGCTAGCACAATACCTCGACAAACCCATAAACAACATGCTACATGCATGCCTGAGCAAAACCAGGAAACTCAGCGACAAAAGAGGAGCAGACCCACAAAGAAGAGGTGCTCATGAGGTTATACAGAGATTAGCACGTTAAAATAATGTGATGACAAAACAAGTCACAGGTCTGATGTTGAAATTTTTTTGCAATTGCTAATTGTGTATAACCTAAAGCTTTAAACAAACTATTGTACAAATATAAATATATATATATATATATATATATATATATATATATATATATATATAAAGTTGTTTGATGGTGACATGCTGTGCAATTCAGTGTGCTAGGACCGTTTTCTACCTGTAGAGTAAAAAGTTTCCCAATGCCTTTTTTAACACTGTATCAACCTCAAAAGAGGCTAAGTTTCTCAAAGCAATACATATTGTGTGTCCTTTTTAAAACAGTGACTTAAACCACTTACGCAATATAAATCCTACAGTGTGTCTGCCAGCCAATGCAGCAGTCTGAGAGGATATTGTTCCTGTGACAAGCCTCGTCAGCAGCAGCTCTGGCTGCGTTGAACCTGCAAACACCGCCTCGCCTTATAAAAGACAGCTGCTCCTTAGGTCAGTTAGCATAGTATTGCAACATACTACTACAATTGTCAGAACATCTTATTTCACTTTCTATCTACTGCTGACTGTTTATTGTTCTAGCTTATCCTCTAATTACAACTGATTTCAAACGAAATAAAAAATAAAATAAACATTATTTTAGAAACAAAATATGTTGTATGCAAGTATGTGTAGAATTAGAAGAAGTAAATGCTTTGACAAATTGAAAGTATCTTGGTTGTAAAAATTTAAAAAAGCCAGGAAAACCAGGTGAAAGTGAGATACTGCTGTATACTGACTCTCTTGGATCACTGATTCAAGAAAATACAAATCTCAATTAGTTTGCCTCAAGGCTTTTTAGAAACTGGGGTTCTTGATTGATTAAAGGAATCATTTCAGGTCTAGTGTACAAAATCTACTTCTCTGAAAAATGAAGAAACATTTATAACACTGCGGGGCATGAATTAAGGAAATTATTTCCATAGCAGCATAAGAAATGCAATATTCTTCACCTGAAACAAGAATGTGTGTTTGACAACTAGATGAAGACACAAACAGCAAACAACACCCACTTACACATCTTATTGGAACTGTCATCACTTCTTCTTTCAACTTTTTTATTAAAACAATTAAAATACAATTAATCAAAATCCCTCGCTTAACTGAAAATTGAAATGTAAGTTAAGAAAACTAATTATTATTATTATTATAATTATTATAGTTGCTCCAACACTATGATAGAATCTTTAAGTGTTTTCTAAGCTGATTTTGTCTACAAATAGTCCACAAACAGATATTTCACTTCAAACCTAAAGCTGGAACTAGGTAATATTCAACCGTGTATTTTTTTCAATTAAATATTATATAAATAAAGGATTTTCATGTCAAAAAAGCTGCCAAATATCCGATTGAGAAAAAGAACAAATGTTCGACTAAAGCCCACAACTAATTTGATGGTAAATTAAACAATCAAATAACGGGTTTTTTTTTTAATAGTAAGAAAAAATAAACCTCCTCCTGTGTAATACAGTATGAATCAGAAAATTGTTGTAAATTATTTGTTTTATCATGCACATAGAAATAATTAAGTCTAGAAATAATAGACATTTTCCACTTTTTAATAACTCTAGGATTAAGTGAATGCCTGTAATGATTTTGTATAAGAATAAAGCCTCATTTAGCATCCAAAAACCTTCAAATGAACTTGATTTTCAGTTTACTGTAAGAAGAATTGGGAAGCTCAAATCACAACAAATTTCAAAATGTTCTGCGAAGAAATAAACCCAAAACCTTTTTCTGACTATCATATAGAAATATCACGAATTAATATCCTTTTGCAATTTCTGCTAGGTCAAACAGGGGAGACAATACTTGAACAGTAATCTGGTTGAAAAGAGATGGCAGGACATTTGAAGAGGCTGGAAACCAAAACAGAAACACTGATGCAACATAAACAGTGAGGCTCGTTTTTCACACTGCACCTGCAGCGGGGTGTCCCTCCATGTAGGCCTCACCACCACAGATTAATGCGACATTAGTGACTAGCTGTACCGTCAAACTAATTTAAATGACCCCAAGCTATAGGACCGCCATTGCGTAAAAAAAGTCCGATAATCGCTCAATATTACTGTTCGACTACAAATATCCGCCATGACGAGCCCGTTAGGTTAGCGTATTATTTTGGACAAAGACCAAACGCCGCGCCCCCACGTTTACCATGCTCGGTTAGAGGTTGTTTTTTTTTAAAGCCATTTATGTTTTCTTAGTGTACTTGTAGCTACATAATGCAGGTTTTCCTGCTGTAGACATCTTTTATGATACCGCTGTTTATCTCTGCTGACGGATGGTCACAGTTGGCTACAGGCAAGATGCCGACCAGAGCTAGCCAAAGAAATGTGCTCACTAGCCGCACATTCAGCGTAGAAAAAATACACTATTTCCTAATTCAAGGCACGCACACATCTTACACTTTTTAGTATGAGTCCAAACGACTTACTTTTTACGTGTTTATTTCAGGGTAGCCTCCGTCATTTAGTTTCCCTCCACCTGCTCCGGCTCCAGGACTCAGACTGAACAACTGGGTCGAGAGCAGCTGACGACACCACACGACGTCGACTCGTCACGTGTTTTGTGGGAATCAGGGAATCACCGCTTGATACGGTCAACTTGACAACATGGATTATAAATATGAGCAAAATGTAATGTCGCTACACAAAATGAGCCCCTGACCTGCCTGACATCATGACGCAGCATTTTCCATAGCGTCGCCAGGGGGTCTTATGATAAAACAATTTAAAAAAAAAGATAACGGTCTGGGCTACTTTTTCTAACATCTAGAATAATCTGGAGAGTTCAGCATGGTGTAGTGACGTAGCCTGTTTATGTAACTTCAAACTGGTTTATCTGACAGCTGTAGTTACTGAAAAAAACAGACATTTTACAAATCCCACGCTGCATTGTTTAAGGCTGAAGCAGTCGTCCTTATTGTCTTTACAGCCAATGACCCATTACCTAAACTACCCCAACCCTTTTTTGTGTCAGGTGTTATGGGTTGTCAGTTATTCCACCAAAAAGTGATTTCTTCTGTTTATGTGTGGGTTGAATTCAATTTTTGTTCAGTGCCACAAGAGGTTATGTTACCCTGTATTTAAACTAAAAAGCAATGATAAGTGCAAGATGAACTTTTTTCTCTTTTCCTTCCCCATTAGTAATTTTTCAATCAGACCTGTTACCTTGTTTGTGCTTGACTTGACAACCTGCGTCTGAAGAAGTTAAACTATGTCTTCCTAAACTTAATAAAAAGTAAAATTCTACTTACAGGTTATTTGCAAAAGTATTAAACTGTTTTAATTAATGTAATATCAGCAGGGGCAGTTTTAATACACAGAACAGTTTAGGTTTTAATTGAGGTATCTGCATTGAACTTTTTCAAAGGTTAAGGATTTGAGCATTTTAAACAATGTTTATTTTAAAAACTTTGTGGTTATTTACTGCTACTGTCATCACTGTCTATTAAACAATAAACAAACTGGGTTCAAGAAACACTCATCTGTTTTCTTTCTGTACACAAAAGACACAAAAAGGTGCATTGCTGCTACATTTACATGTAAAGCACTTAATTGTTGCATACAATCAATTCAAACAAATATTTGCATATTTTACAATTATTCTGAGAACTGCTTTAAGTTTATAAAACATTTAGCCTCTAGATCATAAGCTACATTTTCAAATTTGAAAGTACATTTTTTTACGAGTTGCTGGTACAATTTGATAATATAAATTTGTACAATTATGTCACAGGCAAGGCATTTCATCTACACAGTATACAACGTCTACCACACATGTAACATCCTCCTACCAGGTGTTCAAAACACACACATGCCACCCAGCTCTTATGTTACCCCCTGACTTGACAACAGTTACTGGTTGTAAGGACGTCTTCGAAGCAGATTATCCAGTTCAGTCTTATTGATGGTACCGTAGGCCTGAGAATAGCTGCCCAGTTTGGCACGAGGGTCACCTGCAGCTGCAACATTACAGTTACTCTGAAATACTTTCCGGCTGAACCGTGGCGGCGGCTGACTCTCACGGGTGTTTGAACGCTGGTTCTGCATAGAAGGAAAAAGTAATTTAACAATGCAACAACAGCAATCCCTTCTAAATCTAAGTGAAGCCTCATAGCTTATGTATTTTTATCCATCTTTTGTTTTCTTTAATATCTAATCAAGGAAGTACATGGGTTTCATTTTGCATCTTGGCATTAAGTCATATTTTACATGCCCTGAGATGCAGAGGACTGACCAGGCGAGCCGATGTGACAGAAAGCCCAGAGGACAGGGATGTGTCATCCTTGCGAACCAGCGGGTTGTTCTGGGTTTGGTTTAAGGTCAAGGAGAAGGAACGGTTGTGGGTCACAGGAGCTGAGCGACCACGCTGGAGAATCTGGTCCATAGACTAAAGAGACGGAAAGACAGACAGAACACTACATGAACCACAGAGAGGTGTTAAGAGAGAAATAATTCAACTTCCTCAAAAAAGGGACAATAAGCCAAAGAAAACAAGGTTACATCAAAGCAACAGAAAACATGGACTGTGGTTTGTTGCTCACTATGTTAGGATTGGTGCCCTCTGTTGGTGATGGTGTTGCATTGCCATTATTGCTTAGTCCAGCTGTTCTCCTGCTGGCTGAAGAGGAGCGGTAGTAATGAGGTAGACCAACTGGATTTCGAACAAACTCATCTGTAACAAGTTAAAACAGATTTGATTACTTTTTACACGAGGTTAGATGATATATAAAAGAAAAATATTTTCAGCTGTATTGTTTAGAGGTTTTGGTATTAGATGAGTTAAGGGATTTGAAATTAGTGCAGAGTTTTCATATTACTGTTACAATATGTTTTGGGATAACTTATTTTAAGAAGTCTAATGTTGAATGTCTAATATGAGGCTGTCCTTACATAATAATATAACCTAACCTAACCTAAAATATAAGCTAAAAAGAGAATCTATCTGATCAGAGAACGTATGAAATATGCTACAAACATTTAACATTTTGGTTAGGACTGCACTACTGACAACAAGCCTTCACACATCACACATATACATTCATACATACTGGGTGCGTGAGTGATGGGGTTATATGTGAGTTTTCCCAAGTCACCACTAGTTAAAGGACTTGTCTTCTCCACAGCAGGCTGGAGAGATGCATTCGCAGGTTTAGTGATTCTTGTTTGTGAGGGCAGGAGGTCCATCTCAGCAGTCTTTTTGTCGTAATCTTCATTGCCATTTGCTTCTTCTGGATCTCTCTCTGTTTCATCCTTCACACTGGTTTTCTCCTCACCCCTGACACAGCCTCCATCCCTTGGCAGAATCATCCTACCCATCAGCATGCCCTGATTCGTTCTTCTCTCCAATATCATCTAAAGGTAAAGAAAAAAAATAGCTTTTATTCTCTGCTGGGTGAATACATTTACTTTTCCTGTACACTCATGACTCATATTATACCTCATACAGTTTGTTGCGGTACTGAACCACCGATAGTTGTACATCATCATCCAAAGGCAGCACTACATCATAGTTAAGAGCTGGCTCCTTGGCTGGACTGTGAAACCTTCAGGGACGGAGGATCAAATAATGGATAAACTAAAGCAATTTAACAAAATTAAATGTAAAATATAGAAAAAATTCAGATTTTTTAAATGTACACAGAAAAAGCAGCTAATGCTATACAACCAAGTAAAAAAATGGGCAGGGAATAAATAAGACATCTCTACAATCCTTTGCTGTAAATTAATCTACATTTTTCAGTCCTTAATACCTGGCTACATATGGGTGTTGGAGGGCTTGCTCAGCAGTCAGCCGCTTGTCTGGGTTGAAAACCAGCAAACCTTTCAACAGATCAAGAGCATCAGCAGGCACAGATGGCTGGAGAAGATCCTCCAAAGGCACCTGTGGTCTGGACGGAAGAGTGATGAATTAATAGCGCTCCAGCTTTTTAGCTTGCATTGTATAACACTGTTGTACTCACGATGTTAAAGTTTTTTTTTAATCTAAATCAATGCGGCAGTGCCTAGAGATATCATGAATTTCATTCAATGTATTTTTATTCCCTGTTGAAATCTGAAGCCTACGTTTCCCACAATGCAACTCAAATAAAGTTTGGTCAGAGAATAGGGTTGGCTAACCTACCATTGAGCTGCTGGCTGACGAGAAAGATTTATTTTTTTCAACTACAACTGTGTCTACATAAAGTGATTAATAGGCGTTTAATTGCAAATGGTGCATTACTGGTTATTGACACATTTCTATTCATAATCCATTTCATACAACATTTTATATTTTCTTGGATGTGTAAAAACAGAACGTATCCATCTTTTTGTGTACAGAGGGAAATAAAGATAATCTTACTTCAGTAGCATTCTCTGAATGACAGAGGATCCATATTCAGACTTGATTGCTAAAACATCTGAAAATATAAAATAATTTAATTAATTTATAGAAACAAAAGATGTATTATGCTTAATGTTGAGTAGGTGTAACTTAATCACCTTCTGGGCTGGGGTGTGGTATGGCACTCATGATCTTTTCTATTTGGTTGATAGTGGATGTCCCAGGAAACAGTGCTTTTCCCAGCAGCATCTCTCCAAGGATACAGCCGAGGCTCCACATGTCCACACCTTTAGTGTACCTTTGGAAAAAGTAAAGTCTACTTGGTCATTTTCCCAAACAACTTTCTCTGGATTAAAAATCCTGCTCAAACGTAGAGGATACAGATGCTGGCAACAGATGCTCATCGTAAATGATACCTTGCAGATCCTAACAGGATCTCAGGGGCTCTGTACCATCGTGTCGCCACATACTCCGTCAGTGCTGGATTCCCACTGTCCTCTTGGATCTGGTTGAGTGATCTGGCCAATCCGAAATCACACATCTTGACTACACAATCAGTGTCGAGCAGCACATTGGAAGGCTGTGAAAAACACAGACAAGAGAAACACTACTCAAAAAGAAAATTAATGTCTGATTTTCACCTTAGAGTGAAAATAGTATGAGAACAAAAATTACAAGAAGAGGGAAGAGGGAGAGAGGTTAGGCGGATAGAAACAAGAAAAACTGGTAAAGATCTATGCTAGAATGTAAGATGATGTTAGCTATGTTAGAAAACCTCAACCAAATGTTACCAAATGTTAGAACTCAGACACAATACTTTTTGGACAGAATGTTGGTTTGATGTTTTGCTGATATTAGTTAAGAAGTTGATGTTAAAATTATTCAGGAACTTTTGGAATTATCAATTAATAGACAGTATTTTCCCCGCAAAGGGCGAAATATTCAGCATTTTCATCTTTTTAATTGAACTGATTGTCTTTGTTTTTAATTAGTGTGAACTAAATATCTTTGGATTTGGAGAAAATTGGTTGTTTAAAATGAGCAACTAAAAGATCTCAACTAGTTTTTGGAAAATACCACCTGCTGCAGAGCACCTTAACATTCCTAAATAAAGGCCATATTCCAGATGTTACACTCAACAACCTTAACAACACCTCAACACAGAAATAAAGGAAGTTATTAATATGTTATACATTAAAGATAAAAATAAAATATGGATATATAATTGGGATTTCTTTCAATCCAAATCATGTATTTTATAACTTTAATAATCTAAAATTCTTCTCATATTACCTTTCATACAAAATATTTGTTATACCTGTTAAATGTTCTCCAGCTGACGTACCTTTTGGTCCCTATGGATGACATTTCCTGAATGCAGGTATTTGATTGCTTTGAGGAGCTGATACATCACATAACGTTTGTGGATGTCCTTCAGTAGGCTTCCTTTCTTTATCACTGCATGCAGGTCAGTATCTTGTAGAACCAGAGTACAAAAAATGACGATTACATGACAGTTCCAGTAACACAAAGTTAAATCCTCCTTATTTATACATAAAATCATCATTTTGGCTCTTTACAGATAAAAACATTCTGCTTCATAATCATAAAACACAATAATTTCAACCAAGCAGTGTTACAAATATGTAATGAAAAAGAGAAATCTGTGCTAGGAGGCTGCTAGAGAGTCATGGACTGGACTGCTGATGAGGGGAGGCCAAACTGTGGACTCAGCAGTAAGACCATGCAGCCAACCACACCACACACACACACACACACACACACACACACACACACACACACACACACACACACACACACACACACACACACACACACACACACACTTTTTCAATGCCAAGTCAAACATCTCAAAGCTACTCTTCCCTTTGTTCATGCGTCATATCTGATTTTGTTTAAAGCTAAGTTTGTGACCATGATGCAAGAACTTTGAGCACTCACCCATGTATTCAAAGACGAGGTAAATGTCTTTATCATTTTGTGCCCGGACGACATTAAGAAGTTTGACGATGTTAGGATGATCTCCAAACTCCTGCAGAACAGACACAGAACAGAATATTTAAGCCACAGAAATCACACACACACACACACACACACACACACACACACACACACACACACACACACACACACACACACACACACACACACACACACACACACACACACACACACACACACACACACACACACCCCACTCTGGCTACTATTTGACCAGTAAAAACTGGCAGGTGTTGTGTAAATAAAGTTTGACAGGTTACATAACAGTCATTTTAAACCCTGTGGTTACACAGTGGAGTTTCAGTGTGAGATGAAAGCAGCTGATTGGGGGGCAGTGGCACAGCTGAAGGACACAATAATGTAAGTCAGCAGATAGCCAGTGGAACAGGAATACATTACACAAGGATTTAAGGCAAAGTGAGAAAAAATGTAGTAAATAATTGCTGCCTGCACACCAAATGCCCACCAGTTTAATTATACAGAAGTCCTAACTGAGTTAAAACACATTAAAACAAACCCATCATGTAAACACTGATTTTGGCACTGATGAACCGAAGAGGCACCAAGTAATCAAATTATATATATATATATAAAATACATTTAGAAAGAAACTGAACAAAGACAGACTGAGACCAGGAGGCAGAACAGATACGAACCAAATATCTAAGTAATATATAATATAAGTTTTTTTGTTACCTGGAGGAACATGATTTCTCTGAATGTCCGCTGCAAAATGAGATACATTTCAAATTAGCCTCAAAGTATGCACCCATAATTCTCAGGTTCTAGCACCTGACTTTCAATCGACATGGGTGAGAGATCCAAATTTTGGCAAAAAACATTGGCAACACAAATAGGTCATGAACCCAGTCAGTTGACACGTCACAGGTGAGCATTACTTCATCTTAAAGCATACTATATTATGTCACAAAGGCTTGTTGTAACCACAGATAAATAGATGTAATAATGAATGAACTTAGACACTACTGACACATCAAACACATACCTGAGCATCTGTTCTGTTCCTGAAGGCGTCAAAAATCTTCTTTACAGCAACAATTTCACCCGTCTGTCTGTCAACTGCCTTCCATACAATGCCGTAAGCCTGACAGGGACAAAAAAAATTGTTAGACAACATGTGGTCACTTCTACAATCCGAATTGATAAAATAATTAGGTTTTATTCATTATGAAATGTAAATAATTTTTTTTCAGCCTCAGAAAAGTCAAATTCAAGGACAGGGTTCAAAATAAGTATATGTCGGCCACTAAAGTTCTTTAAATGCATCTCTTTTGATCACAGTATTCCTAAACTAAAGGACATGACCTCTGTGTCCTCAAAGCTCACTGCAGCACTGACTCTGGTGAAGGGAGAGTTTGCTGATTAAGGCGTTGATATCAAGCAGAACAGAGCCAACAATGAGAGCACAGTGTTATTGTAGAAACACAACAAAGTAAACACTGTCACTGGAGGCAGTGGATCAGTTTCATAAAAAGCGGCACTCTGCTGCTGCTGCTACTGTCTCTGACGGCAAATACAGATGAAGTTTAGCAGGGAGCATTTTGTAATAAAACTAATTTTACTTAAACATGCAAAAGTGCTTTATAACCCTTGAGTCAGTTTGCATATTGCTGCTCACTATTGTTGTTATTGTTCAGCTCCTAAAGCATCCCTGCACAGGATAATAGGACCACAGCAGTCCTATGTGAACAGGTTGAACAGCTGCGTAACCTGAGTCACTGCCAGCCTCAGGTATGTCTAGTTGGATCATCTGACGTGTCTATGTCGTAATTACTACCAAGCCATCTCAACCTGAGGTGCAATTTGTGAGTCTCTGTGGACAGTCAATGGAAAGACAGCAGGTAATTTTTTAGTCATGTGGAAACCAGTGGAGGAAAAACAAAGAGGTCTGGACTCTAGAGGGAACAAGTGTTCACCCAAGTCAGCTGATTTGCATACAAGTCCTGCCAAAGTAAATAAACCTCTTGCTTGCAACACTGGTATTCACTGAGGAACTTAAGTCTGTGTTATTTCAAGAATTTCTTTTGCGGCTTAAGTTTAGATGAGGTTGGCGTGGGTAATATTAGGTTTAGAAGATTGGTGTAAAGAGGGGTTTGCAAACAGCACCGAAAATGTGCGTAGGCTACTCAACCCATTTGTACATTTGAGTCGTGTCAAGAAGTTAATTAACTTTAAATGCAACTACTTCAAATAGGCTACACTAAAATCAAGAAACATAAAGACACTCACCCCTTTTCCAAGTCTTTTCTTGATTTCATACTTCAGAGAAATGTGTTCCTCCACCTCCGACACGTTCGCTGATTCGTACGTTTTGCTCATTTTGTTTAAAAACAGTTGTTTTGAGTCTTTATGGGGAAATAAGTAACCTACCACATTCTCTGGTTATCTATGAGCGAGATGAATGGTCTTGTATTTCCCGGAAAACAAGCGTAAAAGCATTTAGATAAAAGCAGCAGCGTGTAATAGAATGGTAATTTCCACACACAACAGAAAAAAAATGAATTATGTCAGCTTGTCTGGCAACCCACGAGACCATGTCCACCTTTAGGCTACTTAGGCGCCGCTTTGCTTCCTGTTCTGTCAGTCAACAAGCAGCATATTAACTCCATGTAATGATCAAAAATGCTTTATAATTAGTCTGCTAAACAAAAAAAAATCGTATTATTTCCCAAGGTGATAGTAAATACACGCTGTTGCCCTGCTGCAATTTGTTTGGACACCTTCTCCCACTGTGCTGCAAAGAGACCAAAAGCCGAACGCTTGTGTCAATACTTGTCGTCCTGGTAACCCAAACTCCACCGCCTGCTTCTTAAAGGAGCCGCAGCATAATAAACTGTCTTCCTATCACGGATGTGTAAAGGAGATATGATGTAGACGAGATAAGAGGCACACATGGCAAGCTGCTCAAACTTTTTGAGGCTGGACATAATATACATTACCAGGGAGCCCCTTAATTCCTCCAAAAAGTAAAAAAAAATATTTATGTTATGCACACCTTATTATCACCTCATAGCACAAGTCATCTCAACTGAAATGGTTATCATTATAGTTTCAGATATCCCAAATAAAAATCAAACCAGGTTAATCTGGACATGGTTCGCTTGGCAGTTGCTATTACAAGCACACAATTCATCAGACATTTTTAAACCATGAAAAAATAATAATAATAATGACACACATTCATACAAAATGCAGCTCAATAAGTAAAATGATGGTCAAGTATCCCTTTAAAATGTACACGTCTAACTATTTTTCACTTGCTCCATTTTTCACAAACATCAAATGTCAGAAGCTAAACAGTTTAAGAAAATGTAATCAAAAAAAAAGACAAATAATTTGGAGGTAGTTTTTCATCTTTAATTCTAAAAGTTGTTACATGCCATTATTTAAAAATCAAAACTATTATATACAATGATAAACTTTAATAAATATGTTCTCCCTAATGTTGTTTGAGGGTTGAAAACATATTTAGTAAGCAAAAATATGTTGGGGTGTGTCCACCTCGCTTCTGCCCACTTAAAGTGGCCAAACGCTCACCTATAAAGGAAATATGGATTTTACAAGTTAACAGAAACAGTAGAGAAGATTTACATAAATAACTCCTTCCTCCAAATGTGTAATAGCTCATTTAGAGTGCAGTCTAATCAACTTTAAATTAAAACAAATTTTTAGCTGCTTTTTCCCCATTATCCAACAACCTAGATTATTTTTCTCTATTAAGAAAAACTATTGTACACTAACTTAACTGATCGGAAAAAACATGGTGTGTAGAGCAAAAACTGCTAAACTGATTTCATGTAGCAAGTTGTGGATTGAATATGGGTACCTAAAAGAAAAATATACATATTCAATTTTTCAACAATACAAAGGCTTTGGCTGTTCAGACTTTGCCCAATGTAAATGTACGATGCTTCTCTTTTGGTGCTCTGCAAAACTGAAGTATAAAATTAGACCTTTTTGTTGATATTACAGTACAAAGTTAGAAGTAAACAGTTTTTTCAAGAGCAGAATAAACAGCCAATATTACTGGATTGATCCCACAGGTTTGGCTAGAAAAGGGGCTAATGGAGAATCTCACAGCACTGACGGGAGCTGAAGGGAGCATGATGTACCAAACACAGTAGATTATTAGAAGGAGGGGACGTTTGAGTAGTACATTAATACAGAACAGAGGAACTCTGAAAGGGAAGATATGAGGCAGAGAACTTTCTCAGAAAACCATGAGGAAAAAAAAGAGTGTTTTTTTTTTGTTTTTTTTAACTTAAGAGATATTAGAGTCACAATTTCAGACAAAAAGTATCGCTGATGGATCGATGCTTTAGGAGGAGTGCAGGAAGCGGTTGAAGGCGTTGTAGGCCGACTCCAGGTCAAACAGCATTTGGCGCACCTGATTATCATCCAACTCGTCTGAGGCCGACATGCTGCTGAGAGTCGTCAACCTGACAAAAAACAAGAAAGAGCAAGGTAGATGATAGATTTAACCAAACTGTAATGACTGGTATAAGTTAAACAAGACTGAGAATCAGAGTAAAAAATTAAATCGAAGAAGAGTTTCACTTATGTAGGCAGTGAAGGGGGTGTCAAGTTACACGTTTTGATTTTTAATAATTATATATAGAAAGCAATGTGGATAATCAAAACTGTTCTTGTGGGGCCTATGACTAAGAGTAATGCAATGGTGCAACATGTTACATCATTATAATCATGTTGTTAGTTTTAACAGTATGTTGGATTGATATGAACAAATAATGTAAGAGGGAGGACACACGTGATTTTTGGTTTGACCACAATACTTCACATAGGTGCTGAGAAACAATGAATGTAGACATATATCTTAATTTATTCTGACAAGGCAATATCACAATATTCTGTGTGAATCCACTTAGTTCTGAACAAATGTGTCAGTCAAATTTATAGTCATAATATATATTTTTTAATTATATCTGTTCAACCTGCAAGGAGGCTTTTACATGAACAAGAAGTAGTCACATGACACACTTGCAAGAGCAGAAATCCGGAAGAATTACCTCTCAATTTCCCTTCACAGAATATTTAAATAAAAAATCCCTTGCCAAATTAATTAAATCTAAAAATAAGAAAGAAGTCCCATGTAAGATTTCACTTAAACTACTGATATGTACAGATCAATAGTTTAAACCAGCTTATTATTGGATCATTCTGGTCCAATAATTTATGTGTATCCCTGTGACTACAGCAGTATTACACATCCTCCACTAATCTGGTTCGAGCTGTTAAACATAAGCACAGGGTGGCAAAGTGTCACTTACCAGAGGCTGACTTTGTCCTTAGCCTCAGAATCTGGAGGCATGTTGCTCATTCTGTTCATAGTTTCCATCAGTTCCCTCAGGTCTGGCTGAATCTGAACCAACAAAAGAATCTGTTAAGAAATGATTCTAACTGTGTTATGTATCTATGTTTTCAAACCCTTTTTATTTACCTCATCCATGGCCCTGATCTCCAATCTCAGCTTGTCCATCACAGTGATGAAAAGCTGAAAGTTAGAGAAGGTAAAGAAAATGAGAAAGAGTTTCCCAAGTTCCACATTCAATACAAACAAATGTGATTGTTTTACACCACCAGTACTGTACAATACAGTGCAGTAGAGTGCAGCAAAGGAAACACAGTCTTTGCCTCTGTCCACATTTACTTTGTCTGATATTAAGAGATGAGATATATGTTGGCAGTGGATAGAGCTGGCAACAGCAATTCACTCTCCTCAATGACAGAACAGAGGATGAGCCAAATTAAGTGAAACCACTTCCGCTACCTATGCCTGAACTGATCTCACTAAATCAAAAAGAGCAACTTTTACTTTCATTCTGTCAAACAGTTTAATATGATGGAGGGGATGTAGAACGTACAGAAACTATATCTGCAATGCAGCGATTCAGGTTTCCCTTGTCATCCTTGATGGTGATTGGCCGGTCCTCCTTAATCCTTTCCATGGCTAGCGGGCAGTCGAGCTAGAATAAAACAACAAGAGTAACAGGCTCACTGGGATGAAACACCCTTCAAATCCATTCTCCATGACAGTCGTTAACGCAGATCCCTTTACCATTCTAACATTGTGATTTAAAAGATACTGTTGGATGCACTGAAAGAAAAAGCATCCTGCTCAACATCCCAACGCATCCCAGAGCTTCTTCTCATGACACTGTAGGCCATACAGGCAGATACAGTGGACAGCAGCAGGTTTAGGTTAAAGGCCTCACAATTAAATTCTGTCTACAGCATGCAATAAGCACCATGTGGGATGTGTGATGGCTCCATGAGTTGAAACAGCTCAACAGTTATTAATACAGTATACTAGACATTTAAACCGGTGAGAGTACCACACCTCTACGAGATGTGTTAATGATCTCTGCCTTGTGGTTTGCTCAGCAGATTTGAGCTCTAATCATCAATCCAGTAATACAATCTGATAAAAACAAGAACTCACTCTGTACTTCCTACAGAAATCATCGATGGAGCCAACATCAGAGCCCTGCACTTGTTTAAAAGCAGCCTTATACTGCACCAACAGTCGGGAACAGGAAGCAGTGTATCTGAAACAGATCAAACCTGCAGATTAATTCAAGTCACATGTGAGACTTTGTGAGTCTTCTAAAAACAAAATACAAAGCATGACTTACTCATTAGGTGTGACACAGTCTTTGATGTAAGCCTTCTCAAGAGCCTGAAGGGTCTTCACCACAGCAAATAACTCGGCCATGTTGTCATACCTTCAGAAAAGGGGTTAAAAATAAGGTATTTGAACATAATGAATCCAAGGGTACTGCATGTGTATATTGGTTTGTTAATGACATTATATATCTCACTTACTTCTCTCTTTCTCTTGCATTTTTGTATAATTTCACTTCCTGGAAGAACAAAATTATTTTTCAGAGCATTTCGGGTTTCATCTTTGGTATTAGTACAGTTCTTTAAGAATAATTTCAGGTATAGCAGCAATAAAAATGGACAGTTTAAGTGTTTTCCGAGATACTTTAAGTGAAAAGGTCATATTTCCAAAAGCCATGAAAAAGTTACATTTACCTCATATAACTCAGGTTTATTCACTGGAGCTGCATTAAAAAAAAAACAAAAAAAAAACTTTGAGTGATATTATCCACACGTGTGAAAATAATGCTGACTGAAAACTTTGGGATTACCAATAGACTTTGTAATTATTTGAATGTCATACCTCCTCCCCCACCTCCTGTGACTGGTATCCCGTGAAACATTGTGTTGATAAATCAGAGCTTGATCTGAAACAAATGAACATCACAGCTTTTCAGGCAACTAATAACGTCCCCAAAAATCAGTGTAAATCAGTGTGATGAAAGATACAACAGATCGATCCTCTAATTTTTTTTGAAATTTTCAAAATCCAAAACAAAAAACGCCAACCAGAATTTACATTTTTAGACACTTCAAATCCATTATTACCACTTTACCTTTTCTGAAGATTATTTCATTTTTAATATAGATGGAAATGGAAATAACAGGAGCAAAATGTACCTTATCTTTCTGAACACTATCATTTATTTCACAACTCATGGCTGCCAAATTAAGTCCCTCTTCTTTTTTGTGTTCTTTACCAGACTCTGGTTTATCAAGTGCGATGCCAATCCTAATCTAATAATAAAAGGAACAAAAAACAAAAACGCTTTTACACACTTAAACATCATCCATCAGGAAATTTGCTGTTACTTTTCACTGAAAATGTCAAATGTGTAACAAATGTTTATCCTTTTTTATTTTGAATTGAGATGCATCAGGATTCACTTGTTTTTTTCACCTTGCTTGAACAATATTCAGATGGAAACTCAGCTCAGAGCTATGATCAATATGAAACTAAATGAGTTTCGTTGGTTAAAAACCTTTCCCTTAAATCAAGTTTCATTTATTTAACAAGAATGTTTTAAAGATAAGTTCGCGCATTGTTTTTCAGCTTTAGGGACGCCAGACTGCTGCTCGTTGTTCTTAAATAAGACTGAACTCTACAGACTTCTAGATTTAAATCAAGAATCCGACTTGTTCGCTGTTTACCTTGTGAAGTAGACTCCATGATTGGCTCGTACATTAGTTTTATAAACAAGTATTTAGAGGATATTCTTCTCAAGATGTTGCTTCACTTAACATTAACATCAAATAAAGACATAGAAGATTCATTGCGAAAAGCAGGACAATACTTCTGCTGAAGACAGTCGCCCTAAAGACCTCAAGATCCTTGTTTTGTCGAACTAGCTGGCCCGAAGTTAGCCGCCGAAGCTAGCTCGTAAGCATTTCCTTTATTAAATATTACAGCTGGTTGTTTGTCAATATTCGACCTTGGATCATTTATCATTACTGCGCTCAAAAATGAATGTGTGCGAATTGTCCAAAGTATTCCGTTTACAGAGTTTTAACGACGAAATTAAAAGACACTTCACTCACCCTTTCAGGAAACAGCTGTGACGTCAATGTAAACACACCCTCATGCGAGGACCAGGTGACGTCACATATTAGGTATCCCTTGTGCCTCATCGAAAATATATAAAATGTTTCCTTGTTGTTATTGTTGTTGTTGTTGTTTTTAAATGAGTAATTAATCTGGTACGAGTGTGTCTTAAATCTTAAACTAGCTGTTTCCGTAAATTATTTAATTTATATTTTAACACAGATTTTACGCAGTCAATCGTCGGTGGCAGCCAAGCGTTGAGGCGCCAGACTCAAACAGAAACGAGAGCGCATTTCTGAACAAGACATTTTTGTTTTGATATCTTTCTTTAATGTTTTGCAGATAATTTCTTCTGTCTGCATTATGAAGACCTCCAAGGCAGCACGGAAGACCCCTGTTCAAGAGGAATGTGGCGTTTGGCTGGACACTGTACAGCTGAAAGGAAAAGCTAAACAGGTGATTATTGAAATTATCTTTAAATTCAGACTAAATGGTCTTTTCAGAAGCGTCTTACTAATCGCCCTGATCATGTTTTATTCTGCACATCATTATTTCAGAAAGGACTCGCCCGTCCCATTTCTAAACTGCTGAATCCTTTTACTGGAGGTGGAGGATACAATGTGGCTGTGGCACTCAACTTCACTCAGACCAAACTGGATATGCCAAAGACCAAACAGACCTCTATATCAACCTTCTTCACACCTCAACACAGAGGTAATTTAAAGATCTCCACTGCTTCATCTTTTTCTCTCTCAATAAATTAGTCAAAGTCAAACTGTGTCCCTCCTGCACCTTCCTGCCTAAAGACTCTGATGTCTTTGTCTTTGTCTCACTTGTTGCTCAAAGACATATCTGGATATAGTGGGAAAGCCGAATCAGCCACCACCAACCACACCCTGGCTGACTGATTTATTTTATTTTCTGTCATCAGAAAAGTTCAAATACTTCTGAAGAGGTTTAGCTGCCAATTTGTAGGCAGTTTATTATAAGACATGTAACAAATGTGTTACTTTTCTAGACCCATACTGACACTTTCAATGCATTTGAAGCAAGCGCCTTGAGTATTCTTTTTCTCATTCTTCTTCTCCCTCTGTCCTATTTTATTTTATTTGAGTTGTGGTTGTTTTAATTGACTTTTGTTGTTTGTCTCTTTTTCTTCTCAGTGTAAGCACACTTAAAAATAAGGGAAACAATTCTGGAATACAGATTTGTAATGTGTACTTTATATCTGTTTAAAAAATCCCACCCGCTGTCAGGTTGTCAAGTCATTACTTTCAAACTGATTCATTTTGAGTTGAAATAACCAGAAGCAGGTAAAGCTGCTGGATAAAACTGGATGACACAACTTGCTTGAACATTTTCATGGACATTATCAATTTCTTCTTTTGTTAACTGTCTTTTCTTTTTGTACATTCTGCCAACAGTTCTTAATAAGATGTCCACTTCTGAAGTGCCAAACATGGATCCAGTGTTTCTGGATTCTGCATCTAACACATCCACATGCACCTTAACTGCACCCACACCTGGAACATCAGGAACAAAAAGAAGACGTGAACTAGATCATTACTCTGAGGCTGGTCTGGACCGTGACAAATGTGAAACAGCAGTGTGTTGGGAACAGTCAGAAAGCTGTATGACTTCCCAAAACGTGTGTTGTGAATTTGAACAGCCGTTTGAGGAGATAAATCCAACATTGGGTAAGAAGAGGCTCATTGCAACTACCTCATTTCCAGAAGATAGTCAAGCTCTTCCACAGGCGTGGAGTCAAGACCCTTTGCTCACATGTAGCCAGTACACTGAAGATGATTCAGGCTTAACTTACCATAAACGCAAAGCAGAAGAGAACCTCTGTGACTCTGAGCCAAGTTTCCTCAGAAGTCTACAAAGGGAGGAGGTCTTTGGGACTCTGATGGGAAGCAGAACCTCTACTCAAAAAGCCTTTAATTCTTCTCAGATGGATGATGAGAAAGAAAACAGCAGGTTTTTGTCAACCAAATCCTCAAGTAAACACTCAACTTTCTCTTATAATGGATCACATTCAAGTCACACACCGAAAAAAACAAAAACTGCATCACCTCCAAACAACTCTCCATCGCACATGTGGATACAGCCGGAAAGAGAAGAGATCTCTGACTCTCAGTTTAAACGGAGGAAACAAAGTGTTTCGCCTTGTAAAAAACGATCACGGCTGCAGTCTTGCAGGGCTGTTGATGAGGACAGTCTGGCCATGTTGTTCACCCAGGACTCTGAAGGTTTAAGGGTGATTGCACACAGAGGTCTGAAAGCCAGGAGTCCACTCACAGACCAGAGTAACAGAAGCTCTCGGGTTGTGAGTAGCAGTGCTTTCAAATCTGTTGAGGAGGATGAGGAAGATGAAATGCTCTTCACTCAAGACTCTCAGGGAAATATGGTGATCAAACACTGAAAGGAGCCTTTTAAACACATTAACAGGAGGCTACTGTGATGTGTAGTCTGGATGTGAATAATCTGTTCTTTTTCAATGGTCTTTAAAGTGGTTTTCTTTCCCAATCTGCAAGAGCTTCATAAAAGATTGATCTAAAATCTAAAACAGAAATTATGCAAATTTTCTTCTTACCTCTTCTCTTCTGTAGATCATTTTACTTTCCTGGATTTAATTCATATTCTTGTCTGTTTTTGGTCTGTGATTCTGAGAGTTGTCTGTTGCAATCACACCAGCAAACAAAACCTGAGGATTTTGATTTTATTTGAAAATGATACACAGTAACATCAAATATGTTTTATGCAAATTAAAAGTCTTGAAAAGCATCAGTGGTGTACAGTATCTTCTCTCTTATGCTGGTACAGTGTGCTACATCTTAATACAAAATATAGAGTGGTCTACATATGAATATAAAGGCAACAGGAAGTGCTCAAGGTGCTATAAGAACTGCCAGTTCTTTACTGTGCATTTGTTGATATCTAAATATAAAGGAGAAATTAGTAGCCAAGTATGAATTCTTTTACATTTAAACATCCATTTGTGCTGATTGAGGCTCCATAAACCATAGTAAACAGTGCTGAATAACCTTCAGTCACTAAGTTCAACAGTACTACATGCATATCGTGTTAAACATGTAAATATGTAACTAATATAAACTTCACCAGATAGAAAGTATACCAAATAGCTCCACTTTTAACTCCCTCGTCTGCTCGGTCTCTGAATGTCACATGTGCAAGTGAAGCTGCCTGACCGTAAACCTTTGCTGAAAGTGAGACTGCGGTTGTGTAAATGTGTTCTCATGCCATAAAACACCACAAACACTGTAGAGAGAATGTAAATCATGTTTACAGTAGTCCAGAAAAGAATGAAGATGTATTTCGAGGATTAGAATAACCATTTATACCATTGCTTATTATTTTACCCTTACATATTCTTACATAGATCCCTTTATTGTCATGGCACAGTTATAAAAGAAAATAGTACACAGACAGGTTGGATGAAATTGAATCAAATGTTTGGAAGTGCTAGAGAGACAACTAGAAGCTGACCAGAAGTTCATCTGTTGCAGGATACCTCAGAAACCCAATTCAATCTGGAGGTCAGATTGATTATTAAACAGCGATGATGATGGTGATGAATCAATCAGCCTGCTATCTCTGTCGGTTCTGTCACCAGTTTGGAGCCGTCCCAAACTGTCTTGAACTGCTCCGGTACTGGAAACTCCCTCTGTCGAACAAGCAGGAAGATATTTGTGAAACAAGAAGTGCACACATGACAGGAAGATAAAACAATCACGTTTCTTCCCTCAGACACTCACATAATCTCCGTCTCCCTGTGGTACCATTATGTTCATCTCAGAGCTCTTTGCGCTGACAATGTCACAGCTGATGGAGTCTGTACTCAGGTAGACCTGGCAGCCCTCTGTCTTGTTGATGGAAATGGTGGGAACTTTCCCCAGGACCTACAGAGAGATAACTTACACTTACTGACAGCTATGAGCAGCACAAGTTGTAATTCAACATAAATAAAAAATGTAATAAAATGATTCCGATAAAGCCTCTTTTTACGATAACAGAAAATATGGTACCTGACTCCTAAATTAGTGCATCAGGAGGATTGATTTTATTTAACAATTTTAATAAAAGAGGTCCTCTAGCCTAGATTCCTTTAAGTTTTTAAAAGTGAACATATAATCAGTCTTGAAATGTTTTTCTCACCTGTAACTGAATTCCCTTGGAGTTGATGATCTCAACAATCCCTACTACGTTTTCAAAAACCAAACCCAGCTTCTTACAGTTGTCTGGAAAACAAAAGGGGAACTCATCAGGATCAATGAAACAAACAGGAATATTTTCAGACTGTGTTCAGCTGCTCACCTAGGATGATGGAGTTGATTTTTCCCTTTATCTGCAGGGTGGAGTTGTTACAGCTGAAGACGTACACCACTTGTTTCAGCTCCGTCTCCTCGATCACAAGGTCGTGCTTCTGCTCAAAGTTCTCCTGCAACAAGAAACCAGATTAAACATATCATCTGTGACACGCTTCTTGTATCTTCCTTTAAAGGGGATGTAGAGGTTTCACGTACCACCCTCCATTTCTTCCCCTCGAGCTCCAGCAGAGGGGGTCTTTTCTGGACGGCTGCTCGTGGTGCCTTCACAGCACCGGGGGACTTTGTTTTGCTTGGTGTTGCTTGGGATCGAAGGTTAGGGTTTTTGTGGGTCTTGTCAGTATCTGATACATGTTTTAGACCTACCAATGAAAGTTATTAGGAGAAGTTATTTTGGGAAAAACAAGGACATAAGAAATGTATGCAATCACAAGTCTTACAACATGTAAAGTAAATAAATTAATGATAATAAATTGTAAATTAAATTATGAGGCTTTCAAAGCTCAAACATGTTTGATTGTAGACTTTTTTATTTCCATTGAAATGACCATTTACTCAAAGAAATTTCACCATGCTCATCATCTCGGTGTAATCTTTCTTTTCTTTGTTTTTCTTTTGTGTTCAAATTATTATCAACATTTATTCAGTTACCTCAATCAACATTTGTGGCTTTTCTGAAAATACTTTTAAAGTGATGACAGTTATCATCAGTATTTAAATTTTCTTTAAGAAATTAAAAGTGGAATAAATTATGCTTAGGGATTAAATAGACATAAAAAAAAAAACTTAAAATGACTGAAAATTGAGGGAAAAAAACTTTTTTTCCCTCCACTTTGAGGCTGGAGTTAACCCACCTTTAGTGATGTCCATGCCCTGGTTGAGCTGGGTAAATAGCGCTGAATGCTTGGCCGCTGTACCGCCTGCCTGAGGCTTGGAGTCATCATCAGTGAAGACAGGAGGAGGGCCAGGTGGAGGAGGTGGTGGGGGACAGGGAGCGCAGGGCGCAGTGGGGGAGTCAAAAAGAGAAGGAGCAATGGGGCCCTAAAGGGAGGAAACAGCTAAATGTCAGATAGTAACACTGTATTCTAAATTTGTGAGTTTTCATTAAAGAAAAAACAGGAGTGACAGGTGTTATGGGGATAGCAGCTGTAGTAACAAACCTCTCCAGCAGGGGCAGTATTACACAAGTAATATCTTTAAGCTTGGGGGCAATAACATCATGACAAATATTCTGGTATATTTTCCATCTTTTTTTATACATATTTATCATAATTCAACCTAACATGAAACTCTAGGACTTACATTTGAAATAAAGTTATTTGGTTTAAAACACTCTAACTAACTCATTCAAGTTTGTTATAATGCTAATGCTGCTATCATCTCTAGTAAACCCTGAAGTCATCTATTACAATGAGAAGTACACGGACACACACACACACACACACACACACACACACACACACACACACACACACACACCTACCAGAGTTGACCTGTCAGTTTACACACTTCTGAGTACAGCTGAGACTACTTGACCTTTGACACCAGAGCACATGTGTTGTGAATATCATAGCTGAACAATGCTGACCTGTTACACTAAACAGCTCAGCACATACCACTGGATTAGAGCCAATATGTGTGTGTGTGTGTGTGTGTATATGTGTGTGTGTGAGGGTGCGTGTGTGTGTGTGTATATGTGTGTGTGAGGGTGCATTTGTGTGTGTGTGTGTGTGTGTGTGTGTGTGTGTGTGTGTGTGTGTGAGGGTGCGTGTGTGTGTGTGTGTGCGTGTACGTGTACGTGTCTGTGTGTGCGTGTGTGTGTGTGTGTGTGTGTGTGTGTGTGTGTGTGTGTGAGGATGCGTGTGTGTGTGTGTGTGTGTGTGTGTGTGTGTGTGTGTGTGTGTGTGTGTGTGTGTGTGTGTGTGTGTGTGTGTGTGTGTGTGTGTGTGTGTGTGTGTGTGTGTGTGTGAGTGCCATGCATGGCTGTATAACTGTCTGACTGCTTCTTTGTGTTAATGCCTGCCTGTATGTTTTTGCATGAATGGGTGTACACAAACACGCTTCTAAACATTTTTTTTTCCTTCTGAGTTATCAGGATGTTTAGTCATTTTTGTTCATATTTATTAGGTTTCAAAAACTTATCATATGCTGTGATAATTATCTAATAATCCCAATGAATTCTATTAGAAATATAAACCTTTATTCAGTTTAGGAGTAACAAGATATACATTTTAGTATGGATGGATTAAATTAACTGAATTTTTAATGAATAAAATCTAGTTTTTTTAAGCAAACAAAATGATTTTTGATGAATTTATAAATGTGAGGATTTGCTCCCTTTTTTGGTATAACTAACAGTAACCATAACTTATTAGTTATTGTGATCCATCAGTAGGAAAGGAAGACATTTGGGGGACTGTGAATTAAATAAATATAATAAATAAAAATAAAGCCACCTCCATATGTCAGCCTGTGCATGTCAGAGCATAAGCGTGTCACTAAACCCCGATCTGAGCCGCAGATGACGGCTGTGTTGAAGGGGGACCAGCCCTGTGGTTTAGGTTACAGCTCAGGCTGTGTGTGTACACAGACTCTTTGTCGGGGTTCTTCCGTGAAGAAAACCTCCATTCAAGTAAATCCTGAAGACCACCTGTTAGTACCACACACTCCCAGCCTTGTACACACACACACTTCAGCTCTGCTGTCCGACAGCAGGGACAACAGCTGACACACACAGCCACTGAAGTTTCTTTCTGTTGGGAAAAAAAAAAAACAGGCATGCACAGTTGCTGAGCATTTGCTACAACTGAGGTTTTAGACTAATCAGTTGAGGTTAAAAGAAAAGTTATACCTTTATCACTGAAGATAGATACTACTGCCATGCCAGTATAGCATAGCATCATCTTATAGCTATAAGCCAAAAGAATGAAAACAGGGAGAAACAGCTCAAATATTGGTGTCTAAAGAAAAAAGGTTTGTGGTTAGTTTTCAAGATACAATTCAACACACCACTTGAGGTATTCATTATCTCAAAAATACACGTGCAATGACATATTTGCTGGTGTTTTAGGGAATAGCTGAAGCCATGAAAGTTCATGTTTTGACGAATGATTTGTTAAAATTTTGTATTTTGGGTCTTTACAGTTGTTCTCTGTCTCTGTAGCGTTGGTGGCTTCTACATGTCTGCAGTGACATTGATATGTCGTTGCCCCGAGAGGAGGTTTAACCAATTTAACAGCTAGCTTTTGTGTACCTGACTTTCTACAAAGTTACCAGAACTGATGGTGGACTTAGCCGTCTAGTGTTTTAGAATGACACTGTTCCTGGTTGAGAAACCAGCCTTTGTTAAGTCCTAATTGTTTTTTTTGGATGTTGTTTTTGGATTGTTATTTTAGACTTTCCTTTCAAAAATGCATTTAAGCAAAACGTGTATAAGTCTTATATGCCAAAATGTCCCATTTAACATCCCATCAGAGAATAAAGAAAGAACGAAATCCTTCTAGCTTAGGAGGAAAAGGCAGACATCCATAAACAGAAGTGTATGTGGGAGTGTCAGAGGTTTTGTAAGCTCTCTGGGGAACCCGATGAGTGCAGCCGCTTGAGGGAAGCTCATTCATTCATTCATGCTCTCTGCAGTGGTTTATGTAATGGACTGCACCATAACTAAAAATGGAAATGTACGCAAAAAGTAGCAGTTAATTTGAGCACTGACATAAAAAAATATCCAAGCCTGCGAATAGAAACTAAATGAAAACAAAGCTAAGATAGTAAACAATTTGTTATAGGAGTCTTTTATTGTTGTAATGGAAGTGTGTGGAGGAGAAGAGAAGAGGAGGGGCTGACTGAAAGTTTGTGTAATGATTGTTTGATGCCAGTGCATTGATCTTACAGTCTTGCTCCACACCAGTCCTGTAGTGTGGTGCTGCCTGATGAAGGACTGCATCTCTGTCCAGATTGACAGGTAGGAATGCACCCAGTCTACATGACGTCTGTCGCTGGGAGAGAGGATGACAAATATATGACGGTCAGGTTAAAAGAGAGGAGGATGAGTTTAGTAGAAGGGGACGAAGGAGCACAGTGGAGACAAAAGCCTAGAACAACAGATATTAAACCAGAGCTGAACCAAAGCTGCTGCTTCTTAATAGATGACCTTTCCTGGATTAAAGTTGTCTATTTAAGTCTTTAAAATCAAATCCAGCGCATTTTTCTAAAACATTGCACGATGTACGATTTGCAAAATGGTATACAATGATTGGACATGAAATGATTGGGGTCTACATTAAAATTGATCGGCACATTCTTGAAATTTGCTTGAGTTGTGTAATCTGTCCGCCTTTATTGTTTAATGCCGGATTTTCAAAACATTGTCTGTTTAAATATATAAAACACTCTGTAACTCCTAACAGAAATGTAAAGTATTTAGGAGCTGCAGTGTTTGGGTGTAAATATGCAAAATCACTTTCAGTGTATTAATGTGACATAACATATTTACTAGTTCATGTATATTCAGATCAGAGCAGATGAAGAAACTTGATCTTCATTTGTAGTACCCTGCAGGGATGTGGATACTTATTTTAATGTGAAGAATTGAGAAGATACCAATGACTTACTTGTCCTTGAAGTCTTTGAGCACTCTGTTGGTGTAGAAGGTGGCAGCATCATTCATCTCCTTCACATACGGAGCAGGCTTCTGACTCTTAAAGAAAGATTCAAAAAAACACATTAGAAAACACTTCTATCACAGCAAAAGGGACAGAAGCATGGCGAGGTCCAAAGTTTCATGCACAGACTTTTTATTTTGAAAGTCTTACAACCATCAGCTGATTTGTCTTCATGGAAGAGTAAAGAGCAGAAAAGCTGATTGTGGCATTTTGTACTTGAACATGTGAGATTAGTCCTGAGAGGGAAAGTGCTCTTCTGACAGCAACAGACACTGACCAGAGACAGAGTCAAATGTTTTTCTTTACTCGAGTGGAAAAGCTTTGATGGTAATCTAAATGATTTGTCCCTTAAGTCAGAGGAAGATGGAAACAGAGACTAATGTGAAGGCAGACAGAGGTGTGTAGGTGTTGTTAGAAGATGGAAAGTATAGAGCGCTGTGTTTAGTAATACAAAACTCTCTGTAGGCAATTGTAAGGTGGTTTCTTGATTTTTTATTTGAGTTTCACTTCAGATATTGAGTTAGATTTTGGTCTTTTTTTACTTGTATTTTTCAAAATGTACTAATTTGTCTTGAAGACTTTTACTGATTTTACACAGGCTTGGTGCATGTCACTTTTAAAATACTCTCAGTGTTGTTTATCAGAGCAAACCTTTGAATCCAGGTTTATCTATTGCTTCCAGGTTTAATTTCAACAATTGATGCATGATATTTCCTTAAACTAGAAAAGGATTGCACGTTTGATTCAGGGTTGTCTTTAGTTTATGAACATTATTTTTTTTATCAGGTAGCCAAGCTGTACCTCCATGCATGTGTTTAAGTATTGGATAGATTAATCCTTGAGTGAGTTTCTGTCTATATGTTAGTATGTTTTTAAATGTTGCTAAAAGGCTGATGTGTTTTTGGTATTTAAGGTGTGTTAAAAGATGTTTTTCCTCCTTACCACAGCCACCCACCCCAGAGCAGGGATGCTTTCGCTGACAGCAGACAGGTGGTTGAAGAGGCTGCAGCCCCGGTTTCGTTCCCTGAAGCTCTGGATCTCCTGGATGTGATCTGAAATTGGCTTCAGCAGGTCATGTAACTCTGTCTGCAAAAAGAAAAGAAGAAGAAGAAGAAAAAAGAGACGAAGAGAAAGAGGAGGAGGAAGAAGACAGTTACTATATTATGACAAAAGGTGGATGCAAAGATGAATGAAAGATTGGACTGGGAGTCTTAGACAAAACACAGAGCAAATATAAAATAAAATAAAAATCCCTGATAGCTGGAGACCACAAATGAATAACTTAAAAACGTTAATGAAGAATTCTCTTAAGCATGCTTAAGATTCTTTTATTTTTGAACAACCTCAGTGCTGTTTTCTTGCCTACCCATACCAAGCTTGCAGTAGTTGCCAAGTCAGTAATGTCTAAAGTGGGCTAAAGGACAGTTACTAATTTAATAGCCAGAGCCTTTTTTTCCATTGGAAGGTCCAGATCTCAGCTCCTGTGTAGCTCCTCTCCCTGCTCTCAGCTCCCCCCCCCTCCCCATAGTTCTGTTCCTGCAAACATTCCTCTGTTCATTGGGAGATCCCTCTGGCCTTGTAAGGCATACTGCTCCTCCAGTGTTTACAGTTTACCTAGCATGCTTCTGCACACTCGAAGAGTCAGGAACACAATGTTGCTGCTGCAGCTTTTTTTGCAGTGAACTTCTGCTGATATGTGAAACATTTACTGTTAATGATCTGTGGAAGAATGGTGTCCTTATGAAGAACTCACTGCAGTGCATCATCTGTTATTGAAATAAGCTGATTGATGCCATGCATTAACATAAACCAGTAGATAATGTTAGATAATCTCAATTAATTACATTTTCTGTGAAGATTAGTTATGTCTGCTTCTGTAATTTTGATGCTTGCGTGCAAGGAAGGACTAGAAACTTAAGTAAGCTTTCTCCTTGTTTTCAATCAAATTCTTCCCTCAATCAAATGCACATGATCTCTAGAAGCTGAGCTAAACACTCCTTGTACTGTTCCTTGTGCTTCCCACTAAATCCATCTTATATCTGTGTGGGAGAAGACTTGGGGCAACGAATCTCCCTTTGTCCAAAAAAAAGTTTCTCTTCAGATATGGATGTACTGCACTCATTGAGAAAGAAGATAATCTGAGGTAACATAGGTGAGTGTATGTCATAAGCCAAAAAAACACCATATCCGCTGATTGTTCTAATATACTTCTGCCACTTGCGTTCCTGTATTTGTCTTTTCTCTCCTTTTATTTTTTACCTATTACGTCTTCAACAGAGGATTCGTTTTGATACTAGTTGCTATAGTTTTCTCCTGTAAAATGTAAAACACATCTGAAGTTCTTAACTATCACATGCAACAAGGAAAAGCGTTTAACCTGCACAGAAGCTGAAATCTCATGCATGGCATTTCTACATGAAAAAAAAAAGAATAATTGATTATTAAATAAGTTGCATATTACATTACTGATTTATCTTAGCTGTTTAAGTGGTATGGATCTATGTAAAATAAGGAAATAAGTTAACTTCCAGAAATGTCAAACAATTTATTTAAAACTTCACCAACAAACATAGTCAAGATACAACATTTTAAATGAATAAAAAGCTCTAGTATGGGCCTATTTCATACTTAATAAATATAGCATTTTTGGTAATATGCTTTTCCTTTCAATAGATGTAAATGTCATCCCATTGGAATCCCATGGGCATTGGAGGCAGTAACATATTTAGTGTTCAGGAAAGAGGGGTATCTACATTGATTAGAATTCAACTGAAGCTGGGATTGCAGACTGTAAAGTGGATACACAGAGGAAAAGAATGAGCCGACAAAAGGATCAAAAACGTCGGCTCACATTATTTGATGGGCAGCGAATGAGCTCACTGTGTTACAATAGCAAAGCGTTGGAGCCTTGACTTCCTATACAAGCACTGGATCAAAGGTGTGGTTGGGGTCCAACACCAGACCAGCTGTAGGGTAGGAGGGGAGTTTTTTTTTTTTTTAACTGTGAAGGTCTGTAACGTGTGTGAACCAGCAACAAGAAAAAATCAGAGACACACACACACACACACACACACACACACACACACACACACACACACACAAAGTTTACAGGTTAACCTGAGGTCACAGGCTGAGTGGGTTTTTTTTTTGCTCTCTATGTCTTTTTTTTACACTTTATCTAACTCTTACCCCCCCCCCCACACACACACACACACACCACACACAGACACAGACACACACACACACACACACACACACACACACACACACACACACACACACACACGCACAAATTGACAACAGGCTCAAATATAGAACATGCCCATAAAAAGTCAGAAAGTAAAACAGGGCTGCGCTGCAGAGAAAGACCAGAAGTTTGTAAGCTGTGCATGCATGTGTGCATATGTGTATGTGCTTGTGCGATGTGTGTGTCTGTGGCTAGAGGGGGCACTGCTGGTCAGTGTCACACACTTTTCTTCCTCTTTCTTATCTGCATTGTGGAGTACACATATGGATAAAAATAAGTGAGACCAACCAATGTGTGTGTGTGTTTGTTAACACTTTTCAAGAGAGGAGTTGACCTGGTTTGTGCGTTCACAAGAGTTTATGGTCATGTTGCCCTTGTGTAGAAAACTGATAACCCAATCTTGTCAAAAAAAAAGAAGCTAAAATATCATCTGTCACAACTGTATGTCCCATGAGACATGAATATGGCAAGACTCATTCTGTGTGATATGTTGCTGTGGATACAGATTGATAGCTCTTCTTTCATAAAATGTAAACATTCTCTATTTTACATGCAAGAGCTGTTTTAAGTCTTTCAGGGCATGTGTAAAAGTAGGTCACATTTTTCACACAAACTGTACTGTCAAAGTAGAGTTTTCCTTTGAATTGTTAAAAAAATGCATATGTATCTTAACATTTTAACTTTAAAGAGGATTCCTCTTTCTTCACAATGTTATGGCCCACTTAATATATATCGAACAAAAGTGGAACTTTTTAAATAGCCTACTTTCCTCTCCTCTCCTCTCCTCTCCTCTCCTCTCCTCTCCTCTCCTCTCCTCTCCTCTCCTGGTCTGTCTGTAAAACCCTCCCTCTTTCCATGTTTGCATTTCTGACAATCACTGAATGCTCTTTTCAATGCTCCTCGATCAATGACCTAACAGATAGGGAGTAATCACTTCCTGGAGGGCTCTGTGGACCCTGCAACACACACACACACACACACACACACACACACACACACACACACACACACACACACACACACACACGCACGCACACACACACACACACACACACACACACACACACACACACACTACACAAACAGAAGCCAATGGGATGATATCAGCTCTCTCTCACACACACACACTCACACAGACAGACAGCTTTCTCTCACACCCCCCTCTCTCTATACGTGAACATGTTGGGAATGTGTTGCATTAGCGTTTTTCATAGTCAAAGAGCAGCATAATCCCTCTGTGAACAGCCCGGCCCACTGGGGGACACAGGAGGGGGAGGACACTGACAGACACACATGACTGAGAGGGACACAGATCAGATGATAAATGTGAAATATCTGATGCAATGTGTAACACAAGATAAGCTCTGTGCTTAACCTGCTGAGGTTTACAGCTAGGTTTCTGAGCAACTTTGTGCACACTGTGCGACAGCTGTATACAAAAGAACGTGTGTGTACGTGTGTGTGAGTATGTTGGGCTTTTTATGTCATTCTATGTCATCTGAGCCCTAGGTGAAGAAAATTGTCCAGTCCTGTTTTTTATCAGCTAAGAAATATATTAAAGGTCAAATCACTCATGTCAGTCAAAGATTTGGAAAAAAACTAAAGGGGACAGGGCTTTTTCTGTGAGAGCCCAGACTCTGGAAGTGTCTGCCAGAGGAGACCAGACTTGTAGAATCAGTCCCTCCATTTAATTCTCTAATTTCTCTACTCAAGACACTCTTGAGTAGACACATGAAAGGGGCCAAGGGTTGAAGTTGAACCCATTAGGGTGCCTTCAAACCCATGACATTGGTTCTCCTACTCTACAGTACCTAGCTGCTTATTGAGCAACTATACCTAGTCGGAATAATTGGTTTAAGAGTACAGAGAGTACAAAGAGTACAGAGAGTACGAGTACTACACGAGCTGTATCACTTGGGTATCAGTAGGTTTCAGTACCTTTGCAGGTTCCTGATGCATGGCAGCCATCTTTAGGAAAGTTCTCTGAGTCTGCAGGGCGTTGTTCACCATCTCTGCCTGTCAATCAAAGAACGTGAGTCAGATTGGTTAAGATAGTACACAACTTCTTCAACAGAATATGGTAAGCAGCCTGTCACACATTTATGTATTAAATGTAAATATATGTTGCTTAGTGCTAATGATGGATTAATGTTGGGTCTTTGTAATATAATATAACAACAAGTAAGCTCTTTCACCTGCTTTTTGTGTCTTGAGATAACATTTTTATAAATTGGGGCTATACAAATAAAGATCGATTGATTGATACTGAATATGTATCATGTGACACTACTTGTTCCTTCATTTTATTTTATTTACTCTTTTCAGTGTTCATTCACTGCAAGGGAAATCTAGGCGTTGAATCTGTCTAAGACATAGAAAGTAAAGCATTTTAAACTCACTCACACACACACACACACACACACACACACACACACACACACACACACACACACACACACACACACACACACACACACACACACACACTCAGCGACAGGGAGTTTGGGTTCTAATCGACCAGCTGTGTCCTTTGTGTGTTTGAGACCTCCAGTTGTGGGCCAAGGGGAACCACCAGGGAGGCTTTTACCATAAAAGGTAAGGCTCTTCAGACAGGAGAAACTCCCTCTGGTTTTCAATCACACACTCTACTCCGTTCTCACCCCACTCAGAGATCAGACAAACAGATAGAAATCTTCTCTTTCAAGGTACAGAGAAAGAAATACAAACACTTTTTTGTACATTTAACTTGCATTCCTCTTTGCCTGCCTTAATGTTTTTGTTTTGGAGCAAATCTTGTTGGATTGGATTTATTCCAAGGACAAAACAAGGCTATTACTGCCAACTGGCTTACCACAAAACACACACACAGTCCTGGTGGGAGTACAGGTCATAACCTAATAGGAAAAAGTCCCCCACCACCAGTTTGATAAATTGTTGTAAGGTCAGTCATCCTTGGCTTTGTAGAATACAGAGAAACTTTTGGACCGTGGACCTCTCATACAGACTATACTTCAGATTACCAGATATCACAGTTGTGAATATCTTAATCGGTTCTGAATTTTAGACGTCTATGTATATACATGTATTTTCAATCATATACATGACACAGAGACAGCACCAATTGCTAAACTTGAATCCATCTTTACCCTACAAAGAGGAGCTTTACTTTTTTTGAAGAACTTTTATAACCTTTGCCTTTTAATAACAAAGTAAAAACACATCTGTGTGTGTTTTAAATAATAACTGTCTTCCCACAAGTGAAAGTGTACATACCTATTATTATTTTATTATTATATTTTTCTCCTTTTATTTAATTGATGTAAATATGTTTGTTTTTTAACTTTTTGCTATTTTTGCTAATTACACTCCTGTTTTTTGAGCTTTAGTAATTACAAAATTTCCCCCAATGGAGGTTCAATAAAGTTTATCTTTAAAAGTCAAGATTTCTCAATATGGAGAGAAATATTTGAACTGTGAGAAGGGTTTTAAGGAAGAGCATTTTTTCCCTTTAAGTTATCAGTAAAAAAGGTTTATGTTTGTTATTAATGGGTGCTTCCACAATTTAAAGACAGTTTAAGGATACATGTTTATACTTAAATTGAATAATGAGTAGTTATAATGAAGAGAAAATCAAACTTGATGTCTTGTGATGTGCTGTAATAAAATATTCTAATAGATAGTTGCCAACAGCAGCCTGAAAAAAATGTAATGACAGTGTGGCCCTGTGTGTTCAATTCCTAAACCCGTGTATAAATACTCTTTCCTGTGTCTTACTGTATATCTCTCCTGATTTCAAATGATACACTTTAACATCATTGGTAAGTTATCAAATGGATTTAAACTGTAATTTCCAAACAATGTTTTATTTCCACAATAAACATTATTGAACTTTATCATATAAGTGACTTTTGGGGAGAATTTTAAGTATAAAGCAGATAAAACTATTATTTAGTTTGCAGGCTTTTTTTGTAGAGTAATGGCTTCAGTCTTCCTCTGAGGTCAGGAGTTTGTGTGCTGCCTTGAGAGGCACTCAGGGTGAATAAGTGTGAAAACAACAGTTCAGCAGGAGATAAATAGTTCAAGGCTTTAGTGAATGCATCAAACACAACTTACATGTTCCTCCACTTCCCTTCCGATGGATCGACTGTAGTTCAGATATTCTGACACTGGACCTTTCAGTACAACGTCAAAGTCCTCAATGCACAGAGACAAACCTGGAAAAACAGGAAGAAATCACTGATTATTATGTCAAGTTTTAACTAGAAACTCCAGGTGTCTGTTTAACTTTAAACTAGTACATAATAGAACAAAGCCTCTCCAAAACTGCTTGGCAGATCACTGTTCAACATGAGTCTGGTTCTGTTCGAGGTTTCTGTCTGTTGAAATGTAGTTTTTTCCTCTCTACTGTAACTTTGCTAAATGTTGCTAAGTGCTGTGCTAATGGTGGAATAAAGTTAGGTCTTTATACAAAATATAGCAAAGAGTACAGTCTCGACCTACTTGTCATGAATTGGCGCTATACAAAAAAGGATTGGTTGATTGACTGATTGAACTGAGTTCCATTATCATCTAAGACTTGCCTTCGTCAATGCCGTTGACACAGTCCCCGTTTGCCATGCCGCTGGACATCTGCATGGTGACAGACATCTTCTCCAGGCGAGTCACGGCTCGCTCCAGCCGCTCCATTAAACCTTCCATGGTGACAAATCTGGAAACAAAATCAAAAATGGTAAATAAGCTATGCGGAGACCTTGATCAAACTGGTGAGTGATTGGTGTTTGTTTTCATATAGTGATTTGTTTTACTTTATTCATCCCAGAAGGAAGTGTCCCGGGTGGCAGAATCACTATTCAACTTTCCTACCCTGCTGCACCATGTTTAAAAAAAGCTGGCCCATGTCATGACAGAGAGAAACTAAATTTAGCCAGTGCATTTGGAAGTACCTCTGTTTAAGCTGTCTGGCACTCTGCCAGTCACAACCTCTTCAACACATCACACAATTAGATTAGGAAGAAACTGAGAGTGGAGCAAGGCTGAGAATAAACCTTTTGAAATAAACAGAATACTCAGCTGTGCTATTTTAATAATCATGTTTTGCTTTAAGTATCAATTCAATAAAAATAGATGTAGATTTTTTTTTTTAAATCACATCATCACTGATTGTGACATACATAGGTCCTACAATGACAAATACTTAATTTTGAACATATTATATATATATAATATATATATATATATATATATGATATTTTAAAGAACATAACTTCCTGAAAATGGATAGTTGATGCTGCTGATCTTGAATTTGTCAGCATACGCACCTGTTGGAACCAATGAAAAGATTCCCTGAATTTCAAACTCCTGTGAAAGGATCTAAGAGCGACCTACTAGTTATTGGCTGTCGCTGTGTTTGTGTGTTAAGTATTGTCAAGTTTAGCGCTAATGGCTTATGAACACCCCAACACAAATATGATTCAATTCCCTTCCTTGCTTGAAAATATTCATACAAAATAACACTTTGCTATATGTGAAATTAAAACTGCATTAAAGGTCAAAAATAGAGCAGCTGCAAAAAAGTTTTCTTCCAAAATAAAATAAAAAATCCTTTTGGTTTGTTTGGCCTGTATACTTGACTCACAAGCAGAGAGATTTAAATACAGTACGTCCATAAAATAACAGATCACCTGTACTGAAAAGGTGAGCCAAATGACCCGGATAGTCTCCTGATAGCATTTATACAAGTAACACAAACTGCTGTCAATTACACCTTCTAATGTATACAGCAAACAAGATGATGAACCCAAATCCAGATCAAATGTTCACACAGTACTGAGAAGGATAAAATGACTGCTGATAGGTAAACAAACCTCCAGGCCACACAATGCCAGTCAATGGAGATACTAGCAACACAGATCATATTATACCTCTGCTAACACTGACCAGCCATATACATCACCATGAGGTAATGCAGGCCTGTTTCCAATATCTATTAGTCAACAGGATAGAATTCAATCCAGCAAATGACTACATGTTTACGCACACTACTGCTAGGTAACAAACACATCCTAATCTGACACCTGCTTCCTTCATGTCTTACACACAACCGGCTTTGTGAGTTATAATCACCTTTATTTCTTTTAAAAACAATGGATGAAAAACATCTAACAACCTATGTAGGCTGAATAGTGTTGCCCGTTGGTAATCTGTTCAAATTATGTTTTACAATTATGTGCGGGGAGAAGAAAACACGTCCTAGGAGGGGTGTCATCGAGTCATCTCTCTAGAGAAACCTCTGAGCAGTGCCACATGCCTTTCATATAGGACTCAGCATCTATTTCTGCTCTCTGGTTCATAACAACTCTGAGGGCAAGAGCCGAAACCTGGAGAGCTCAGTGTAGGTTGATCTCAAACAACAAGTCATAAATAAAAAATAATAATAATAAATCTGCTCCAGGACCAGTGCACCACAGAGTCAATCAAGTTATTTAACTGAGTTTCAGTGGGGATACACTTTTCTTTTAAAATACTGAATTTCATATACGCCTTTGGGTGACAGTTTCTCTGAAGGGACTTCATACGAGATTTTCTGTATCTTTGTCTTGACAAATATTTGGACAAATAGTTTTAATTTTAGAAAAAAAAAAGATAAGCTAGATCATTTCAAGGTATTGATACATAAAACTTTAAGAGTGTGGTTCTGTCAAAGATTTTGGCCTTTGGCGTTTTCCTTGCCTCTGCTACTTGCTGAATGTTTCTAAGTGCTTTGCTCATGGTGGATTAATGTAGGGTCTTTTATGAATAATATAACAAAGAGTACTGCTTAGACCTGCTCTTTTTGGAAAGGGTCTTAACCAACATTTGCTAGGTATTAGCTCTATAGAAATAGATTGTTGAAATTGATTGTTGATCGATTGATACAATAGCATCTGCTGCTCGAAAATGTTAAAGTGGGAAACCTGTGACTCTTTATTAATGACTAATATCTATAGCAGCAGGTTGGACGGCTGCTATACATCTATCAATAAGTTTCATAAAGTCCAAATTCATATTTTTAAGCTTGTATGGAAACATTCCTCGCTCTGTTCTCGCAGACAGATGCGCAACAATGTCTGCCACATAAAGACCCCAAGCCAACAGCTGAGAAAGCACACGTTCCTACAGTGGAAAGATATAACTGACTTCACCCTGACCTGCAGCATGTGTCTTCTGAACCCTCTGGCCTGATAACTGATCTTTGGGGCTATATCGGGCCCCAGCCTGCCGTCTGCTGCCATGGGCCAACTGTAAGTTATCCTATAGGCTTCAATATCCACAGCTTCAGTGTAGCTTGAGGAAATGGAAGATGAAGTGAAGTTGGTTAATTCAACAAATGGCCTACATGCTCCTCATGTAACCTTTATGTTTAGGTTACAGCTGCTACACCTGTTTCTAAGTCCAAAACAAGAGGATGTTACATCAAGAAAAATTGCTCTTGGAGAAAGTGGTAGCCTATTTAAAAACTCCTGAGGTCTGTCAGATTATGTTGCTGATGTTAAAATAGCTTAAAGTAAACAGTGTGGTACCTGCATTAAACGAGTTAATTGAGAGACTACATTTTGTTAAACAGCAGGCTAATCATATTTGGTTAAGAGTCAATGTTAAGTCAAATTAAGAATCACTTGACCTTTGAGTCAACAATGAGGGGATGTATCTACAGCTCTAAAAACTAAATAGACCTCCAGCTGAGATTGTTTGGACATCTAACTTTTGGTGGGAAATGTCTTTACCGTAAATAAGCCGTTTAAACTCCCATATAAGTACATCAATAAGTGCAGGTGGTCGTCACACAGGCCATCACAATGCTTCAAAATAAAACATGACACGGCGCTGGCACGCTGACAGGACCTGATGCTTCACGGGTCCGCGACACAATATAGCTTTTTTTTTTTTTTTCAAACAAGACTGTGAAAACACTGCAAATTAAATCTACACACGTTTCTTTGTCATACTGCAAATATCCATACTAAATGAAAGAAAATCATGGCGCACATGCAGCAGGTGGAGGAGACTCTGGACATGCAGGATGATAACCTCTCCGCCCCCACCCCGAAATTCAACTCAACCTGACTCTCGCATAGAAGCTCGTTCATTCAGAAACTGCTTACCTCCTTCCAGTGGTCCGCTTTTTAATTCCTTGTCGGGATGTGGGGACTGTCGATACCCCTGGACGGATCCGTGGCGGTGCGCTGGTGTCCTGCGGTCCCCTCCTGCCCCCCCCTTGCCTCGTCACTCAGCTGAGGGCTAGGACTCTTCCGGGATCTCCTAATTAAGCCAAACGATGAACCTGAGAGCCACACAGCGAGCACAGACCAGGACCATGACTCAGTGCTGCACTACCTAAGTCGTCTGGAGCGAAAGGCAATATGGCTGCTGCATGGAGTCCAGCTATAAATAAACTAGTGTTGGTCGTTGAGGAATTGCCTGCTCGGGTCCCTCCAGAGGGAAGGGACCCGATCTTGAAAGAGCACCATCATTGCAAGGTGTGACCACCAACTTGGAATCCTCCCGCTCCCAAATAATCATGACCACTCACAACAAATAGGCTAGGTCCAAAATGTTAGCTGTTTATCAGCATTGAGTTAAAAAGCACAAAATATTGCCTCCAGTTTACACAAAGATTCATGGGTTATACTTTTTGATACTTTTTTTAAAATTCATACAGATTTAGCCTATACAAATTCTTAGATCTGAAATATGCTGTATCAAGTTGTACTTGGTGCAAATGTGGCCCACATATTTTGGTTTAACATTTGGCCAAAAACAGGGGATCCCACCAATAATTCAACTGGATTGCATATGCTGCAACAATGTCACCAGAATGGAAATATATCCTACTATCCTGATTTGTTGCAGTTCATGCAATATTTCACTTCAGGTCACCAAAATAATAGCCTTGTCTGCTTTTCTGCAGAATAAGAATCAACTCCAATGGCCAGGTATGCTTATACATGCAATGAATATGACTTTGACTGTGCTCTGTACAGAAGTGTAGCATTGAATATTAAATAATAAACAAACAAACAACTCCAGAGATAGCAGAACATTTCAGGAGAGAGAAATATACAATGAAATGTGACAAAGTTCCTGCCAAAGGTCATGATGGGAACACTATTTCAGTCAAACTCTCTTTCACCAAGACCTTTGTTGTTGATGTAGAAAACTACACGCTTTCCTTTACCTAAGAAGGTGTTTTCGGTGTCTTGATGTAACCAAGCTGCTACCTTTTTACTAAGTTTAACAAATGTCAGTGACAGTCACATTTTCCTAAGGTTAAGACAGTCAGATTTGAATAATTTTTGAAATGAAAAGGTTTCTCTGTGTCACTTTTAGACAGAAATCCTTTGCTGTTCTATATTTTTTAGATGTTAAAAGGCTGATTTGTAACTGTCTTTATGTATCTGTTAAATTTAAGGTCTGAGTCCATAATTTCACCTTGATATAGATTTCAGTGACATGGAGACAAGGTTAACCTTTCATCTTTAGAGCATAAGACAAGTTTTTTTTTCTTTATTTAACTGTAGGAAATGTTGGCGCATCCACTTGATTACTTCAATACAATTCCTCAGTGTGTGAAAGGGACTGTAGTCATAACAACACTGAGATATACAGTTGTGTGTCATCTGTAAGCATGGTAAGAGATGTGTTGATATTCTAGAATAAATGTACTTAGAGAATTTCCCATTACGACAGCTGTTGCTGTCCATCATTTCAATCTCTGACCTGGCTCTGGGAAACAGTACACGAGGAAGACTGGTTTGATGCATAATACACTTTTTATTTTCAAATCAGTGACCATTTGAGTATGTTTGACATACTGCAGATCTCACGTTGTTTGAATACTGCATTCTGCATTTTGGCCAAATCAGAACGTAGTATGCGTTTTCGAAAATAGCCACTATCATGATTTAGACACTTTGATAGATTAGGATCTCACCCCATAAACTAAGCCCATACTTTGTCATGATCACAGACCTACAGAGGGCCAGTTTCATGTTTCATCAGGGTCCAAGTAAAAGAAAGCAGAGACATGGCAACAAAGTCTTCATAGAATAAATGATTGATTGGAGAACACATCAATCATTGATAGACTGAGATCTGAGAAAGATTATTTTGTGTCAGTTGTATCCAGGTAAACTTTGGCTGTTGTAGTCATAGGGTGTTTGAAATAAAGTCAACTTCTAAAGCTAGCTGACACAAAACATCTTACTGACTTTTTCCAGGTTGTGCATTGTGCAACATCAATGTTAAAGTAAGTCTGAAAAGCAACAAGATTCTGCCTAAATAAAGCAGGCGACTAACTTCTGCTTTCATTTAAATAAACATCTGACTAGATGTGAGTGGGCTTGGTTTTACTTAATCAGATACATCAAAGTGAAGAGGAGAGGCAGTGTAAGAAGCAACAGCTTATGTTAGCTGGGGAGTTCAGAGTTATTATTTGACTGTTCAAGTTATCATAATAAAACAAAGGAAAAGTTAAATAGACTCTCTTTATATTTCTTCCTATGTATTTTTACTCTAGTCCAACATTTTTAGGTGAGTCACTTTCTATGTAATTTTGGGACTTTTCATTGGAAACTTTTGTAATTTTTTTTGCAATTTTCAATGGAAATATTTGGAAACTCTCAAGATGTTATTGAACATTTCAACGACAAATTCAGGTTTTGTCATTGGACATTTTAATGAATTTTCATGATTTTCTGGAAACTTTCAATAGAACCTTTCCGAAACATTTTGGAATTTTGGGGGATGTTTCAATTGCAAAGTTTGGGAATTGTAAGGAACTTTCAGGAATTTTAAATGTTAAATTTATGGATACTTTTTGATACCTTTGATTCTTTAATGGAAATGTAAATTTTCCCAAACTTTCAGGAATTTGCAATTTTGCAATCCATTTGTCAAAACTTTTTTCAAAACTTTTGTGAGTTTTCATTAATTTGTTATTTAAATTTCTGTAAATATTCAATCGAAGTTTTCATAAACTTTCACGAAATTGGCATGGAAATTAATTACAGGACTTAAGAATGTTATAGAAATTTACGGGAATTTTCAGGATTTTTTGGAGACTTTTGGGACTTTTGTAGCATATGGACCTGTTCACAGGGAATTCTGGGAATTTTTTATTGACATTTTTAACATAAATTTAGGGGATTTTTTCAAGAATTATAAATGGAATTATTTATATATATATATATATATATATATATATATATATATATATATATATCACATTTTTTGAAACTTTCAATGGACCTTCATGAAACTTTCCAGAACCCCCCCACCCACACCCCAGGTCTAGTTAGTCAGTCTGGTGTTGATTTGTGCTGTTCATTTAATATTAGAAAGCTCTAAACATAGCCACACATAAAATGTATTGATTGTATTCAAGGCCCTGCAAAAGGAAGAAAAAACGACATGTGTAAAAACAAATGTGTCCAAGATCCAACAGCTTCTCAATGTCAAGTTAGGGACCCGATAAGCGTTGTGTTTACTTTCAAGTAACATGACATGCGGATGTTTGATTTCAGCATTCAAGAAAGAAATGGCACCAAACATTTATGTATAATATTTTATTTCAATTTAGAGTAAATGGTGTTGAAAGTTAAGGTTTCAATATCAACAGGACCTTTGCATTTTAATAGTAACACTTTACATGCCTTCATCCAGTGACAATGAAATGCTTCCTTAAAGTTTTTTTGTCATTTATTTTGCATATTTCCCTTGTAAGAAATAATTCAAGTATAAAAATTCCCAACAGTGTAAAATAGCCCATCTGATGAATATTAAGCAAAAGGAGCACAGCTACTGAAACCTCGACAACAACTATACATTCTAGTGGAGAAAGCAGCATTTTTGCTTATTTTCTGAAAACTTATTGTGATTTTCTCTCATCTAAACACAGAAGAGGCAGAGTACAATCTGCATGCAAACAGGCCTGCATTTAAATAAAGTTTCTTCCCTACAAAAAGGCATAAAGGCATCGAGCTAAACTTCAATGTCATGTTCTACAGAATCAAAAAGATAAAAAATAAAAGTACAGTGCACGTAACAGTGTCTTAAATAAGTCCTACATCAACATTTTGGTTGAGTATGTTAATAATAATAATTATGATTATAATAATATTATTTCTAAAACTAATCAATAACTTATATATGCCTTGAGATGAGTACATAATAATATTATTAATACAGTACCACCACTAAGTCTCTATTCTCAGAGCGTCAACATAGTCAACCCTCAAAAATAAATATCTTAAATAGTAGATTTCTTTCTCTTTTTTTTCTGTTTTTCTCTCTCTCTTAAATAGCAGTAAAAATGTAAGGCACACAGACCAACATAACGTCAAAGAGTCCATCCCCCCGTCCTCTCCACCTCACCTGGTGTTCTTGACAGATATGAGGCAGGCCAGTTGTTTGGTGACTTTGGTAAAAGTGTGTGTGTTTATGAGTGTATACCTGACACCAGACTACAGCCGCACAGAGTTGGAAGTGCTGACAGCTGCAGGGCTGAATTGGTGGGGTGGGGGTACTGCTGTGGGGCTCTGTGCCGGGTGGAGGGTTGTGAAGTTGGTTCCCAAATGGGCCAGGCCAGGGATTAAAATGTGACAGCTCGACAAACGAGCACAAGTGATGTGTTCTTTCCAGAGTGATCTGTCTGTATGGCACTAGAGCAGCTCTGTCCACCCCCAGCAGCAGCTGTTCTCTCCCCCTTTCTTTCTTTCTCATTTTCTTTCTCTCCATCGCAGGGCCACAAAGAAACACAACTGTGCTGCCTTTGTCTTTAACAGCAATGTATGCAACTCTGGATGCATTTGTCGTTGTACGTGTGAAACATGAGTAAAACCAACTGATTTTGTGTTTCTCATTGTCTGAGGCCATTGTCTCTCTCCTTTTGTTAGTGTGTTTGTTTTGTTTGTCAAGTCCCCCTTTTAGTCCAAGAATAGAGTCAGAGTTGATGACATTTTCATTTTTTTTGTATTTTCCTTGTTGTTTTGTCTCCTTGTGATTTGCTTGTTTTGCATCGGTCAAGAGGTCGGGACACAGAGTAAAAAAGGGACATTCAGCATCAGGAAGATAAAAAGGTAGTTCTTCAAATATGTGACACGATGAGTTAGGACTCCTCGACTTCCTGACAGAGGTCACATTTTAATAGCTAACACTTTGGAAACAGTTCCATTTCCCTGATTATCAGAAAAAAAATCTCGAAAATATGCACTTGAAAAGACAAAAAATGACAAGAAAATCCCCCAATTTGTAACAATAATCATAATAAATATAAATGTTATGAGGGCTTTAAATAACCACAAAAAAAACTTGTGGTATAGACCACAAGTGAAAAAAAGAGAACAGTTTCCTTAACTAACATTAAGACA